TGAATATTAGACAATAATAAATGATTTCTTTTGATGTCTTCCTTTTCTATGTATCTGTATAAGAGACAGTTTGCGTTCGTGTGTATATATTTTATGATTCCAATGAACCAGTTATTTTCAGTCTACGAAGTCTTCATATTCCGTAATTCATCGGCTCATCAAGCTAAAGCATCAAATGTATCGACTATTAGAAACAATCAAATTATAAGCTGTAATTGCACGCCATATTTTTATTTCATTTAACATACATAACAAGATTTTTATAATCTATTCTTTCAATTAAATCCTAAACAGAACGTTATGTAGAGAGAATATCGTTTACGTTTATTTTTAATAAGTATTGCTTTCGGGTTTATATCTAAAAGTAATTTGTTAATATATATAATAATATATTTATATAACAAAAACATATTCAATATTCCATATGGCTAGTAGTATCGCATGATTATGCTGGGTCGAAAAAAGGCCAGTATAACCTTGTTTTTTTATACAAATATTTTTTTCAGTATAGGTTTAACGTTTTTTTTAGACTACCATGAAAAACTGAGCATGTATGTATGTGATGGACATACCCTATAATAATGCCAACATTTCGTTATTTACGTTCCTACCTGCTGTGTTAGGCTCAGGTGGATGGAAGATCATTGAGAACATTAGCAGCAATGATCTTTTCTATTTGATCCAACGAATGTCGACCAACAAAGAAATGAACAATTTGCGCGAGCTGTTAAGAAATAGTAGAACATCGAGATTAAAAGAATTTACATATTCCCAAAATTTTTCGTTTTTTTTTCGAGGTGGAGAAAAATGTGCCAGTCCGTAATCTATTAAAATCAATAAACGTCGAAAAATTGGTGATGTCCGAAATGCTCGAATTGCAAACTAAATGCCGATCATGTCATCCGTGGATGATTAATGGTCCCGAGGTGTACATCAACAATGTTTCGCACCGTTCTCACATAAGAGCTACAAGAAATGATGTGGTTCTAGGCGCAGTGACCTTGATCCGTAGCGGTGGAGAATGCCTCTGTGGATGGCAAATAGAAAAGGTTGTAAACCTTTCGTCTGGCTGATCTACGACAGACTGCAAGAAGAAATTCTCTGTGTCGGCAGTTGTAATAATAGTGCCTGCACCGATTATCAAATTGTATCGACAGATACCCAGCAAACACAGTATATAAATGTTATATACTTAAGCATGTTACATGTAACGTATATGTTAGTTGTAATTTCCCACTCATAGATGTAACATTTTTAATATTACATATATTATATTGTAGTTATATTGTAATTATATACCAAATAGCCGAAGACAAACCAATAGTTTTTAAACCACGATCAGGCAGGCCGATGAGGCGTTATTAGAATAAGCAAGAGAAGAGATAGTGGATCCTGGAAGAAAGAGAACGATTGTCAGTTCGACACAGTTCTTCTCGGTTCTGTTCTGATTTTAGCGTACTAAGCTAAAAGTAGCTAACGATTAGAGTTATATGGAAACACTAAAAGCACAGTATACACGGACTTATAGTTCGTGAATTAAGTAATAATAAAGACAATACAAAACATATATAAAATCACGGTGTAGTTGAATCGGATTACATCAACCCACATAACAGTATGCATGCAATAAATTTATTCTTAAAATAAAAACCAGAAAGCCCGTATTTTTTAAAGTTGTCTGTTTAAAAAACAGATAATTAAATCTTTCTTTCTCAAATATGTGTAACAATGCAATATCATTAAATCTATTTCAATTTTGTTATAAGTAGTATAGTTTTATGCATTATAATTTACCTTTTTTTTATAAAATATGTTATTTAGATATATTTTTATTGTCCATCATTAATAGATTCGATGAATTTTTGACTTTCTGATATTAGACGTACGCTAAATATGTGTGCATATACATACAGGGTCATCGAAAAGTATCGGATCCTCCTAATATCTTCAGTTAGAATGCATTTTGCCTCCTATTTTTTATTGCATATTCTTATAGCTTATCTCGAGAGCTTTCCAAAACACTATAATAAAACATTTTTTCATTAAGTACTTTTTGAATTATACAGATTTGAAGTTAACAAGGTTACTTCTTGATAATTACTATTTTATAACTAAAATAGAATGGAAAAACAAGATGAGACGAGAAGTCAAGAGAAGTTGGTAAGTTTAAAAATTATTGTAAAATTATGAAATTATAGAGTCGATTTATTGAAAAAGTAATAATTAAAAATATAAAGTAACATTAAAATGTTTCTTCTTTTATTCATTATGTTATAAATTGTTGTATCAAGGATTTATATTTCCATAAAATTTAATAGCAATTTACTTGGCAGATCTTATTGCGATTAGATTGACTAACTTTTTTTCTAAATTATATCAAGTATCTTAGGCAATCGTATAGCATTATATATATATATATATATATATATATATATATGTGTATATATGTATATACATAAAATAGATGTTACATAATTATAATTAACCTATTTTATAATTTGGGATTTAGAGTATTATACTTTTTCGCCTTACTAATTCACTGATAAGAAGATAAAGCATGACTTACATTAGAAAGTATTGTTATTATTATTTGTGACAAAATGTATATTTCGGTAAATTACTAAAAATACGTCCCGAAAGATACATATAATTATTTTCATTAAATCAATTTATTCGTATTCTATGTTAAAACAAATTTATAAAAAAAAACTTGTTTATTTCAAAATTTAAAAATATTTATGCATTGAACAATACTTATGTATTGTGTATATATTTCAATATTGCTTATAATATTGTATAAGAATATTAATTATTCTAACAAAACTTAATAGAAAGAAAAATAATTAAACCTTCCTTTCTCAAATATGTGTAACAATACGATGTCATTAATTTTATTTCAACTTTATTATAATGTAGCACAGTTCTATGCATTATAATGTAATTTTTTATAAAATATATTATTTTGATATATTTTCAACATTAACAGAATCGATGAATTTTTTATTCTTTTATATTAGACGTACGCTACAAATATATATACAGGGTGTTCGGCAACAGGTGGGCCAAAATGTAAGGAGTGGTTCTACATGATAAAATAAGACAAAAATCAAGAATGACAAAATTGCGTCCGAGACTTTGTTTATTAATTATAAATATTTTAAACTTCGCATTAAGGGCGCCTGACGCACGGCAATTTTCCGATATTTGGCGTGCGTAAGGTACATCGGTAGAGTCGCCGTCAAAATACACTGTGACGCATAAATATACAAAAACTTACATCGTAACAGTTGATGTATATTTTGCAAAGTGTAAAATATTTATAATTAATAAACGAAGTCTCGAACGCAATTTTGTCATACTTGATTTTCGTCTTATTTTATCATGTAGAATCACTCCTTACATTTTGGCCCACCTGTTACCAAACACCCTATATATATATATATATATATATATATATATATATATATATATATATACACACACATGTATGTATGTCTACTTATTACTATATATTTTTATAATTGTATTACAAAATGTAAGATGACATGTATTTATATAATTATATTTAAATTTTGAATATTAAACATCAATAATAAATGATATGTTTTAATGTCTTCTTTATGTGTATCCGTACATGAGTGTTTGTTTTCGTGAGTTTATATTATGATTCTGTTAGAACAGTTATTTTCAGTCTACGAAGAACCGAGCAAGAAAACTTTCTGATTTGACACTATACAAAAGAATCACGAGCGAGAGAGAAAATACATTAAAATAATCTCACATTCGCCTGAATTATTGTCGCGCAACTTATATTTTATATCAACGCTAATTAACAACACGCGAGCGAGACTGCAATTGCTAAATTATATTGCTATCAAGACTGTTAATTAGAATTTGCTAATATTGTAGCACATTCTTTTGTTCTTGACAATTGCTATTTCATAACTAAAACAGGATGGACCGAGAGAAAAATGAGATGAGTGATGAGAGGTCAAAAGAAGTTGGTAAGTTTAAATAGTATTGTATAAAATTTAGTAATTATTGTGTTTATTTATCAAAAAAATAATAATTTAAAATATAAAGTAATATAAAAATGTTTATGCTTTTATTTTTATATTATGTATTGTTACCCAATAAATTCATTTCTATGTATTGTAATTTAATAGCTAATGACAGGTCTTGGATAGATTAACGTAATTTCTTTCTAAAATTGTATCAATTATTATTAAAATAATAGAACAACGTTTTAAATATATAAACATATAAACGCAATAAGAACATTAGAATTTTAGATATAATTATTGCAGAATAAAACTTTTTATTTTGTGTCTTTAAATATTACAGTTAAATATTAAAGATTTTTGAACAATAAAATTCGTCGATCTCGACTTAAGTTTTGTATATTAACAATTTTTCAAAATATAATTGCCGGTTCTTTATTTGTCATGTTTATCGACGTTCAAACGTAGCACTGTTGTTAAATATTGATAACAGCACATTAGTTATTTTACTAATTTTTTATAGTCCCGAGTGTCTTCACATATACATTATTGATTTTGTTGTTTTGTGATTTTAAACTTAAGCGTGAGTTATAATAAAATTTTATTTTACGCGTTTAAAATAATTATCAAAAATGTATCAGTACATTACGTTTTTAATTTTAACATATGTTTAATTAAAAATATTTAATTATAGTAAATTACAATAAATAATATAAATAAATATTTTAAATTGTTAATTTAAGATATTCATTTATATTTTTTATTGCAAATTATTATAATTAAATTACTATAGCTATACTTAATATTAATTTTTTTTCTTAAGTTTATTATTTATTCTGTATCTATTCTATTCACTAGAAAAAACAATAAAGAAAGGACGTTTAGCTTTTGCGATGAAGTGTTTGCATAAGATTATGAATGCCAATCAGAATAAAAGTTTCGTGTTCAGTCCGGCTTGCCTACATGATGCACTTTTTCTGACATTTTTCCTGATAAAGGTGAAATTTCGGAGCGCCTAAAAATGATTCTTTGTTCAGGACCAGAATACGAGGATATCATCAGCAAAACAGATTTTATTAACTATTATTCTTATAGAACAGACAGAAGGGTAAATATTCTTGACGCATTGTTGCATTGTATGATATATTCCGCCATATAAAATATATTATGTAAACACCGTCAATCTGAATGATTATTAAAAGTTTTATTGCATTGACAGAAAATGTTTTAGCGAAATTAAAATTCAACGCCTTGTCACAATTTAAATTTGTCAGTGACCAATTTTTGTAACAATAGCTTCTTCAATTTTAGAAATTTTTCTTATCCGAAAAATCTATAATTTTGGCTTTTTTCGTGTTAAATATATACTAAATATACTGTAAAAATATATATGCTAACATATAAATACAATAATTGCAAACAAAAAATAAAACTTGAATGAAGCGATTTATTAATAATTGTTGTCTATTATGTAGAAAAAGTGAATATGTTACAAACATTAATTCTATATATTCGGTTTCAGCTAAGATGGAAACCCTATTCCGAGAATTGCAATTATGACGTTAGATGTTGGATGGACCTTAACAAAAAAAAATGTCCATCTAAACTCGGTGGGACAATATTTTATTTCTTTAACAATCCAATGATCAACTCAAAACAGTACATAAGTTGTGAGGCAAAAATAAACCACGTTAATGAATTATTAAACAGACCGGTAGAAGGATTAATTAATGAGCGCATAACATTACCTGATGACGAACAAGATATTATTTTGATGACCTCTATCAGTAACAAATTCGATTTTGCTGCCACAAAAACAATTCGACTTATTACGAGCTGTAAGTATCACATATATCTTCATTTTATTTAACATATATAATCTATATTGTGCTTAGATGATTTTATAAAATTTAAATTATTTAGCTAAAATTAGCCAAATAAAGATAAGATAAAATATTAACTTAGATAAGATGTGTGAAGATAATGTTGTTTAAAATATATATAGATAAAAGATAACAATTATATGATGGTTTATCTAGATAACTTGTAGATAATATTAGTTTTAGATTGCTTATGTAAACGTAGTTATAAAGAAATATAAACTATAAAAGAGATATAAAAATATATATATATTTTAAATTGTAAGTTTCTAACAATTAAAATAATTATCATTTTCATTTTATTTGGCATACATAGTGTAAAACTTTTTATAATGTGACCTTTTTTATTATCTCTAAATAAAATATATTATGTTTTTTGAAGGAAACACTACCTCAAAATTTAATTTTCAATAAACTTCTGTCCGGGTACATAATAAAAGTTAAAATATTAATATTATACTTTGTAAAATTTTGTCGTCTCTGACGTAATATGATAAAGATGTTCAATGCTTAACAGCTGCTGTAAAAAACATGTAACAGTTGGAATTTGTCGAAAAAATTCAATTAATATCTTTATATTATATCATTATATTAATGAAAATGTAAATAATTATTGAATTGAAACATTAAATATAAAGAAAGAATAAATATAATTGTAAATAAATGTTTCTCTCTCTCTCTCTCTCTTTAAAATTGTTAAAAATGTAATTCTAATTTTTACCGCTTTGACAGTTACTCCATTTTCAATTGTTGAACGCTTTATCAAAATGTGTTTACGTAAAAAACATTTATTTCGGAACGTAATACTATTGCTATTATAAAACAACAGAAGAGTATAATTATTACTGATGCATTTCTTTCATTACATATAATATATTCTATCATGGAGAAGAGTAAAAATTTACAGTTTTTGTGTAAAATAACATAGAAATAATTGTGTAAACTCCGCCAAAATAAAAGATTAATAAAAAGTTTATGGTGTTTACGAGAAAGAAAAGTTTCCTTTAGCGAAATTAATGTAATATGAATTTTTTAAAATGTATAATGTTCTAATCGTAAAGAACAAATGTATTTCGGGATTTTTATATCAGCACTATATTTATACAGTTATCTACATTTTTAATATTGTTTTTAGATTTTTATCCACGATTGGACATTCACGTGACCGAATTATTTGACATAAAATCAAATTTGTCGCTATATATCTTCGCACCTGCTTCGTCAACCGAAAAGTGCAATAAAAAAACAGGTTTGTTAAATTAACAAATATTTAATTTAATACATCTAAATATATCATTTATTTGAAACAATTAAATATTTATTTGATATAAAAAATACTTATTTAATATAAGAAAATCCTTTTCAAAGCAAATAAATATTTATTTGTTTCAAATAATTGATCCATTTGAACTAAATATTTGTTAATTTAACAAACTTATTTTCAGATTGGAAGATCACTCAGAACATCAGCCACGCTGACCTTTTAAATTTTACCCAAAGATTGTCGACCGTGCAGGGAGTCAGAGAACTGCGCAATGTGTTAACATGTAACGCACCAGGTGCGATAGACAGTACTACAACAACAAATTCTATGCATGCTTTGCCTTTCGAGTTGGAGAAAGATCTGACAATCCGTGAGCTTCTCGAAACATTAAATGTACCATTATTAACGTCCGAAATGATCGAACTGGATACTATATTTGGGGATAACTCCCGTGTGAAAATCCGCAATGCCGTGCATCGTTCTCACATTAAGGCTACAAGTGAAGAAGTGGTCGTGCATGCGACGACATTGATTAGCAGCAAAGGAGAAGACCCTCCTTCGAATTCCAATATTGTCGACATAAATTGCAATAATCCAGTCATCTGGATGATCGCTCAACCATTTTATGAGGACGTCCTCTATGTTGGCAGTTGTAATAATACCGAGCGTGTTACTAAACCTGTATCGGCGGATATGCCAAGTACATCAGGCTGCTCGCCAAGCAAAAAGCGGCGGATCGACGAGTCTTCTTGAAATTCTATCGATAAACCCAAATTTGAAATTGTAGATATGTCAAAAAATGGGAGCGATGTGGTCTCGATGATCTTGATGCACAGGGAAGAAGACTCCTCTGCAAACACCGAAGTAGTCAGCGTAAATTGCAATGAATTTTTTCTCTGGCTGATCTATGACACACTACAAGAAGAAATTCTCTATGTCGGCACTTGTAATAGTGCCGAGCAAAATGGTTTTGTCTTTTTAACTTACTCATTATAAGGCGATGAAGTATAACTTACATTAGTAAGCATTGATATTATTTAGTAACAATATGTATATTTTATAAAGCACTGAAAATATATAAGGATACATATATGTACATACATATCCATATGTATAAATATTTTGTTTATATTTATACTTATTGTGTATCCTGATAATAATTTTTTTGTATGTAATTATTTGTCATAATGTATAATTATATAAAAAATATATAAAATTACGTATATATATATAATTGTTTATATATATAATTGTATATATAATTATTTATATATATATATCATTTATTACTTTGTATATAATTTCATATATTGCTGATTGACTCTTCTATATATAATTATACAAATAACATAAATATTTTTTTCTGTAATGTTTTATATATAATCTCGTATATAAATTTTAGTTTTGAATATTATATGTAATTTACAAAAGGTGATGCATAAAATATATTAAAAGTGTAATTATTCTAATCAATTTGATGTTAAAATAGAAATTAAACTGACAAAAGTTTAAACATTAATGTAATTGTTAAAAAACTGAGTAGAAAAATATTGAATTAAACAAAAAAATGCACGATTAAGACAGTAATGCACATAAGGATATAATTACATAAAAATTATAACGTATTATTTATGGACACAAAGGTACACACACTTATATGTATACATATATACACACATATTCACATACATATAAAGACATTTTTATATAAGTATATTTTTATGTAAGTATATATAAATATTTATACATCATAATTTAAGCACTTGTGTATGAATGTTTGTATGTACGTATATGCATCTATGTATATTGTTTCTGTCATAAATTTCATTAAATCAATTTATTCGTATTTTATGCTAAAACAATTTATAAACGAAAAAATTGTTTATTTCGAAATTTATCAATACTTATATGTATCATTGTGTCCATATTTTAATATTGCTTATAAAATTGTAAGAATGTTAATTTTCTATCAGAACTTAATAGAAAGAACATAGGCTGTGCTCTCATAGCCAAATTGGTTAATGATTGTATTTATTTTAATAAAAAGAAATATAAATGAACGTTTTTTTCTCAAATATGTGTGTCATTAATGCGATGTCATTAACTTCATTTTAATTATGTTATAAAATTGTATAGCGTTTTGTGCATTATAATATAATTTTTGTAAAATATTATTTAGATCCTTTTAAATTGTCCAACATTAACAGAATCGATGAATTTTTATTCTTTTACATTAGATGTACGCTATATATGTACTTGTATACATATATACATATATGTATGTCTATCTATTACTATATATTCTTATAATTGTATTACGCAAAGTGAGATGTAATATTATATAATTATAAATAAATTTTCAATTTTTGGCATTAAAATTAAATTATATGTTTTGTTCTGTTTAAGTATCCGTGAGTGAATTTGTTTGTATTTTTGTGAATATGTTATTGTTTTGATAGATTATCTTTAGTTTACGAGGAATCGAGGAAAAGCTCGGATTAAAATTTGAAAATTATATTACAAAATTTTAGGCGAAAAAGAAAGTATTTATACCTAAAAGAGAATAAATAATCTTACATTTGCCTCAAATATCATTGCAAATATTACATCATATAGCAACTCTAATTAGCAATACTTGAATGAAACTGCAATTGCTAAATAATATTGCGATTCAAACTGTTAAATAAAATTTGCAAATTTTGTGGCATACACTTTTGTTTTTGAATTTTTATTTCATAACAATAAAGAATGGAAAACGTAATGAGTGAGGAGAGAGCAAGAGAAATTGGTAAGTTTAAATATTATTCTATGAAATTATGTATTTATCGAGTTGATTTATCAAGAAGTTAAGAATCTAAAGTATAAAGTATAATAAAAACGTTACTGCTTTTATTTATTATTTTTTATATTGTTGAAGAAACTTAAGAATTGGTATTTCTATGTAATTTAATAACTATGGCTTGCTGTTACAACAAGTCTTGCAATTAGGTTGACTAACCATAATTTTTTTCTAAATCTGCCTCGATTATAATTTAGGGAATTGTAAAACGTTATATATATATATATATATTGCACAATAAATTGAAGTTTAAAATATGACTAACAATAAGTCAGCTTTCAGGAAAGAAGAAAAGATCATTAGAATTTTAGATATAATTACTGTAGAATGTAATTTCTTTATTATTTATCATTAAATATTTCTTTCAAGATTTATTAATAATAAAATTAATCGATTTTAAGTTTTGCATAGACTTTTTAAATGTAAGTAAAATTCGTTATTAAAGAAACGGTGTTCAAACCATAGTCATATTGTTAAACACATTTCATAAGTTATTTTCCTTTTTTTACTGCTTCAAGTGTTCTTATATAGTTATTGTTGATTCAGTTGTATGTTTATTTTAAATATGTTTATATTAAATATGAGTTATAATAGAATTTAGCTATGCGCGTTAAAAATAATTGTCGATTAATTTTTAATATATTACATGCTGTTGACTTTATTTTAGTTTTTTTCTTCTGAATTTGATCTTTTACTTACTTATCTATTATTCTTTTTCCTAGAAACTCAACTAAAGAAGGGGCGTTTCAATTTCGCGATCAAATGTCTCCATGAAGTTATGAAAGTCAGTCCGGATAAAAATTTTGTCTTTAGTCCGCCTTCCATATATGAGGGTCTTTTCCTAACAAGTATACTGATTAAAGGAGAAAGGGGAGAAATGGCAAATCGTCTCAAAAATATTCTTTTTTTAAACGGGATCAGCAAAGCAAATTTGATCGATTACTGCGATAGTAAAAAAGAGTCAACTGTAAACAATCCTATCGTATTTTTGCATTAAATAATACATTTCATTATGGAAAAAAGCCGAAATTTGCTGTTTATGTATAAAATAATATGTAAAAGCAATTATATAAACTCCTCTTATCTGAAAGATTAATAAAGTTAATTGCGTTGAGAAAAATAAATTTTTTTCCAAAGTTAAAATTTGAAGCTTCGTCACAATTAAATTTTTTTCTCAGCAATTAGTTTTAAATGAAAGACCCTTTAATCATCTTTTTTTCATATTGATTTCTTAAAATAAAGAAACTTTGTTTTGAAGAATATACAGGCATCTATGAAAACAATATTTGCGCCAATAATAATTTGAAGCAATTTTTGTAAATGATTAGTATTTGATGACTGGGAATATGATATAAAAATCTTATTTTTTTATTTGATATTTTTGGTTGCAGAAAAAATTGGTGGTTTATCCGGAACATTCATTGTGCTCTCATAACATTATGTATTGGATGAAATATGAAACAGATGATTCGGAAATAGATAGTGTACTACGTCGTTTTATTAACACACCAATCACTCGTTTAGATGCGAATAAAAATTCTGCATTGAAAGTAGATTACGTTAATGAATTAATAGGCAGAGCGATAAAAAAGGAATGCTTTCATTATCCCGTGGGATTATCCAAGAGTGAACAAGTTAATGATATTCTTTTAATTACCTACATCTGTTGCGAATTCCAGAATTTGAATCCTCAATATGTTATACCAATTATAAACTATTTATTCATTAGCTGTGAGTACGCCATATTTTCATGTTATTTAACTTACATAATATAAATTTTATTATAATATAACTTTTTATTATTCCTAAACAAAGCATATTGTGTTTTGTAAAGAAAACACTGCTTAAAATTAATTTTCAATAAACTTGTCACCGGGTACCCAATAAAAGTTTAAAATATATAATAAAATATATAATAAAAGTATATAATATTTAAAACATATATAACAAAAAGTGAAAAATATATAATAAAATATATATAATAAAAATATATAATATTTAACCAATATATAATAGTAAGTGAAAAATATATAATAACAGTTATAGTAAAAAATATATAATAAAAAAAAGATGTTTGATGCTTAACAGTGGCTATAAGAAATTTGTCGCGTTGGTATTTGTCAAAGACACTAATTGTAAGTTTCTACCCGGATATCCATACATTAATGAGAAAATAAACAAATTTGAATTAAAAAATTAAATATAAAAAAATAAATTATAAAATTAATAAAATATAATTAAATGTTTTTTTCAAAATTAAAAATATAATTTCGATTTTCACCGTTTGACAATTATTTTATTTTTAATTGCCCAACATTTGATCAAAATGTGGTTTTACGTAAAACATTTTTCAGACTGTAAACATTTCCATTAAGACTATTAAATATAATAAATTTTTAAAAATGCATGTTTTTCTAGTTTTATCTTTCTCAACAACTTATGTAATTTTTTATATTTTTAATACTGTTTTTTTTTTAAGACTACAATGAAAAATTGAGCATGCAAGTTGTATAAAAAATATGTATGTAAAATATTATATATAGAGTAGATGTTACTCGATTATAATTAATCTATTTTTCAATGTAATTCAATATTTTATAATTTTTCATCTTTCTAAGTTATTGATAAGGACATAAAGCATAATTTACATTAGTAAGCGTTGATATTATCAGGTAACAATATGTATATTTTATAAGTTCTGATAAATTATTTAAAATACGTTCTCAAAGGTACACATATGCACATACATATAAAGACATTTTTATATAAGTATATTTTTATGTAAGTATATATAAATATTTATACATCATAATTTAAGCACTTGTGTATGAGTGTTTGTATGTACGTATATGCATCTATGTATATTGTTTCTGTCATATATTTCATTAAATCAATTTATTCGTATTCTATGCTAAAACAGTTTATAAACGAAAAAATTGTTTATTTCGATATTTAACAATACTTATATGTATCATTGTGTCCATATTTTAATATTGCTTATAAAATTGTAAGAATTTTAATTATCCTATCAGAATTTAATATAAAGAATATAGGCTGTGCTCTCATAGCCATAGCTTTTTTATTAGACTTCTAAACTTATTTCTGCAAGCTCACTAATATTCCTTTATGCAATCTTTTGTAGGAACCTGTCTTATTTTGTACGTATAAATTGTGAAACTTTTATACAAGCAAATATTGTTATGACGTGACGCGAGAAGCCAGAAAAAAAACTTGTATTTAAAAATTTTTGATCTAAATTTGCATCAAGTATAATTTAGCAAATTGTATAGCATTTTATATACATATACAGACAAGTTTAATTTTAAAGTGTGACTTTGCTATCATGGCAAGAAGTATAATTGAAAGAACGTTTTTATTAGTATAAATATTGCAGACTATAACTTAGTTAAACTATATAAGTATAAATAAATTTTGGAATTTTACATAATATTGAGTGATATGTTTTCTTGTCTTCTTTATGTGTATTTGTATATGAAATGTGTTCATGTTTATATATCATGATTTTGATAGAACGGACATCTTTAGTCTACGAAAAATCAAGTAAGAGAACGGTATCAGATTTGAATATAACATAAAAAATTTCAGTCGAAAAGGTATACAAAAGGACAAATTGATCTCACATTTGGTTTAATTATTATCGCAATATTATATATTGTATTATATCCTATAGCAACGCTAATTAGCAATACGAGTGAGACTGCAATAGTTAAGTAATATTTCGATCAAAGCTGTTAAATAAAACATTTGCAAACGTCGTAAGACACATTTTTGTATTTGCTTTTGCTATTTCGTAATTAAAGCAAGATGGGAAACCAGACGAGTTCATTACAAGAATACAAATTGCAAGAAGCATATAGAATTGGTATGTACATGGATTATAAAAATTATGCATATAATTATATATAGAGTTAATTTATCGAAGCAATAATACAAAATATAATATCTTGCTTTGAAAGTGTTTTTTTCATTTACTAGTATATTATTTTATACATTGTTGCATTTGTCTAAAGATTTATTTATTGATATAATTTAATGGCTATGATTTGACAAGTCTTGCAATTAGATTAACTAATGTAATTTTTTTCTAAATGTGCATCAACTATAATTTAACCAATCGTATAGCGTTTTATATATACGTACACAAGTTTAATTTTCAAGTATGACTTTGTCAGGTTTTAAGGCAGAATGTATATTTGGAAGAACGTTATAAACAGATATAAATATTGCAAAGTATAACTTGTTTATTGTTTCATATTTTGATGGTCTTAATATGTATATTAATGATTTCATTATTTTGATTTCAATATATATTAAATATAAGTTGTAATAAAATTTTGCTTTAAGTGTTCAAAATAAATGTCGAATAAATTTTGGTACATTATGCTTTTAATTTTTACATTTTTTTATTATATGTACTTTTAGTTGAAAGAATTTATAAGATGTATTTATAAATTTTAATTTTAATTTACTACAATTCAATTATCATAATTACTCTTAATATTCCTTTTTTTTATATTAATTTTTTAATTATTTATCTGTTCTATATGCTAGAAAATATAATGAAAGAGAAGCGTTTCCAGTTTGCGTTTAGATGTCTGGATGATATTATGAAGATCAATCCGAAGGAAAATATTGTCTTTAGTCCATCTTGCATATATAAAGCACTTTTAATAATATATATAATGGTTAAAGATGATATTGAGAAACGCCTACAAAATATTCTTCTATTAACGGAAATCAGCAAACAAGATTTGATAAATTACAGCGATTTTACCACAATATCCACGGTAAATATTCCTGACGCATTAGATGTTGTATTCTATAATGGGAAAGTCAAAATTTGCAGTTGTGTATAATGTAACATGTAAAAATTATTGTAGAAAACTCCGCCGATTTGAAAAACTAATAATAAGTAATATAATTTGTAACAGCTTTTTAGAAAATTTTAATCTACAAATAAAAAGGCAATAAGAGCTAAATAAGTTCTAAACTAGAATTATATTTGTGAAAAGATTTATAACATAAATTATTAAATATTATACAGAAGTAAATTCGATTCGATTGTTCGACGAATCGAATTTACTTCTGTATAATATTTAATAATTTATGTTATAAATCTTTTCACAAATATAATTCTAGTTTAGAACTTATTTAGCTCTTATTGCCTTTTTATTTGTAGATTAATAATAAGTAAATAATTAATAAAAAAGAAACATAATTTTTTGCAAAATTACAATTCAACTCTTTGTCACATCATAAATTTGTTAATGAGTTCTTTAATAATAGATTTATTTTAAATTCAGAAATTTTCTTTATTAAAATATCTATTATTTTCACATTTTTTATTTTGATTAATTGAAATAAAGTAACCTTGCAAATATGGTTACACTTAAATGTTTGCAAGAATAAAAATTCGAAAGAAGCAGTTTATAAATAATAGATCTATTGTTTAGAAAGAAATGAATATCTCATAAACATTAATTCCGATATTTTCGATTTCAGATTGCATCTGTGGATCATATCAACATTCCCCATTACAGTCAGGACGTTAGATGTTTTATTAAACCTAATATACGTTTACATCAGCAATCATTTCCTTTTATGTTTTCATCAGTCTCAAACTTAAATTTGTTCGAAAATTCTGAGTGTTTAATAAATTACATTAATAATAAAGTATTAAAGAAAGCGGTTAATGACTACTTTTGCGATACATCGAGCTTAACCGTAGTCAAACAAGATACTGAATTTGTTTTGATGACATCTATCACCGGCAGGTTTAAAAAATTTCAAGATTCAGCGGCTGCTGCAGTTGATTCTCCAGATGTAGAGAGTCTTATTGATGCACAAAAAATTAGCTGTGAGCACTATTTATATTTTACCTAACTTATACATAATTTAAATTTTTGATATAATTCTTTCAATTAATTTGAAACAAAATATAAATTTTTTGTCAGTTGGTGCGCAAATATTAAAAGAAAAAAAAAATTAATATATAAATTGAAGTGTTAAATATTATAGAAAATTTACTCTTTTTACAATAAATAAATTTGAAATAAAATTTTTGAAATTATTAAAAAGATATTATTAAAAAGTTTAATTTTTTTAATTATATTAATATATTATTTAATTATATAATTAAAAAGTTTAACTGGTTTTAGAATAAATAAAATTGCAATTGTTTTTTTTAAATATGAAAAAATTTCTTTTTAATTGTTTAATATTTTTCTTAAAGAATTTAACTATCTTGAGAATAAATAAAATTGCAATTGTATCTTTTTTTTTGAAAATGAGATAATGATATAATTTTGGTTTTCGCCACTTTGACAATTATTTTATTTTTAATTGTTCAATGTTTGATTAAAATGTGTTTACGTGTTAAAGATTCATATAAAATATTATGAATTTTGAATAATGAATGATGTTTTATACGGAGAGGACAAATGTATTTCAGTTTTATATACCTTATCTACGTTCTGTAGTTTTCTAATATTTATGATCCTTTTTTCAGACTTCTATGAGAATTTAAGCATGTACGTGAACGAGTACTTCTATGAGCATCGCAACATATCGCTATTTGTGCTCAGACCAGCTTCATTAATCTCAGGCAAATGTAGGATCAGCAATTATAAGAATTCCAGAAGCAACATTCGCGTCTTGGTCGAGCAACTGTTAACCAGCGACGGATTCAGCGAGTTGCACAAAGTACTAGATAGAAGTGCACCATTATTAGGAGAGGTCGAAACACTTCTCACCGAACACAATTTGTTGCCGAAATTCGAGGTGGAGAAAGATCTGACAATGCGTGAGCTGCTGCAAGGATTAGGAGCTGAACAATTGTTGATGCCCGACGCTATATTTATGGATCCTTCAACCGTTAAAGGAATCCTGCCCGTAGTGTGCTTCGGCAATGTCATGCACCGCTCTCAAGTCAAGGTCACGCAGAAGGACATCTCGGCGAGTGCGATAACCTTAATCCACAGCGGATTAGAGACCTCTTCGGGCATCGAAATAGACCAAAACGATTTCGGTCATCCCTTCATTTGGCTGATTTATGATAAGTTTCGTCGAGAAATTCTCTTTATTGGCGCTTTTAATAAGTTCACGAGTGCAGCTTCCTGTTCACGTTAAAGATCGGATACCATATTTAATTCAGAGGATACACGAAGAGAATATACAATTTGAAATGATTTTATATAACAGATCTGTAGTTAAGTATTGCAAAATGATATATGTAATTGACGAATCTGTCTTTACCACTCATGCGACTTAAACTTTTGATGATTTGAATTGACATGCATTGTATTTCGTGCGCAATATACAACTATATAAATAACTTCTGTTCAAATTTTAGAGGGGCTAACGAAATAATTGTTTCGTTATTTTAATTTATTGTGCGCCTTTGTTTTAATGGTAAAAATTGCGAAAATTAAAACAAAATGTAATGCGCGTTTGTATTAATTTTACAAATTTGCAAAAACTATGAAAAATAAAAGCCTGTATTCTCAACAGTTGTATAAAAATATATATATGTATATGCTTTAACAACTGTTGAGAAAAAATATTTTTTCCAGACTCATCTTTTTCTTCATTCTGAAAAATAATATATATATATATATATAAAATATATATATATATATATATATATTATATATTATATATTTGACATATTTTTTTAGGATGAAAAACAAAATGAGTCTGGAAGAAGCAACACAAATTTGTAAGTTCATAAATTATTGTATATTTTTTTTTAATATACATATATATATATAAAACGTACTATTCGATTAATTAATGCTATAATTTGAATTTTATCGTTTTATTATTTTTTACTTTTCCAATAAGTATATTAAAATAAAAATTGTATTTTAAGTACTTATCTACTGGTAAAGATATGAAACAAAACTTATATTAAAAAGTATTGATATTATTATTTGATTATGTGCATAACTTATAAATTTCGATAAACCAGTAAAAATAAATACTCATATATATACCTGCATGCACATACTTATAAATACATATTCATACGTATACATACATATACATATTATATATTGCTTACAAAATTGTTAGAATGTTAATTGTGGTATCAATATTTAAAAGAGAAAAAAGATAAACACATCTTTTTCTTTTAAATATGTGTAACAACGCGATGTACTTGACTCTATTTTAATTCTGTTATAATGTTGCCACAGCTCAATATGCATTATAATTCAATTTTTTTAGAAAATATTTTATTTATTTCATTTTTTTATTGTCCAATATTAACAACATCGATAAATGTTTAACTATTTTATATTTCACGTACCCTATATGCATATATGTGTGTGTATGTATTTGTGCGTTTGCTTATTAATTTATGTTTTTATAATATTATTACATGTGTAATGTATAATTGGTGTGTATAATTGTAAAAAAAATTTAATTATAAATAATTATTAATCATAAATATTAATAATAATAAAAATTGATATAATTATAACTAAATAAATTTTGTATTCTTGATGTTAGTAAAATGATATGTTTTGGTATATTGTTATCTGTGTACGGGTGTGATTGTGTTGCTATATATATTAGGATTCTGTTCGAACATTTACCTTCAGTCTACGAAGAATCGAGCGAGAGACAGTTTTAGATATAAAATTATATTAAAGAATATCCGGCAAAATATATATTCCAAAAGAAGAAAATAATTTCATATTCGTCTTAATTCTCATTAAAGTTACATTACATAGCAGCTCTAATTATTATTAATACGCAAGCAAGACAGTAAGACCAAAGATGTCAAATTAAACATTTGTTAACTTGGTACGACACATTTTTTCCTCTACATTTTTGTTAGTTTGTAACTGAAACAGGATGAAAAACAAGATGAGTCCGGAAGAAGCAACACGAATTCGTAAGTTCATAAATTATTGTATAATAATTATATAATTATAGAGTTAATTTATAATTCGAAACGACAAAAAAATCTAAATTATGTCTTGTTGTAAATATATCTTTTTTTTTTACTTATTATTATGCATATATATTGTAGCGCTAGTCTAAAGAATTTATATTACTATATAATGTAATTAAGGCTAATGCATAGCAAGTGTTGAAAATAGATTAATTAACGTTAGTTAACGTAATTTTTTTCTAAATCTGCATCAACTATAATTAATTTAATCGTATATTGTTTTATATATATATATATATATATATATATATATTTGTCAGATTTTTTTAAAAATATGATTTGGTATGCTTTCACTGTTGTAAATATATATAGAATACATAATTGTACATTAATTATATATTTTTAATTGAGCGAGTTTATAAGATGTTTTGATAAATTTTAACTTTAATTTATTATAATTCAATTACTAACTATTCTTAATATTCCTTACTTCTGACTTAAATTCTCAATTTATTTATATATTTTAAACGCCAGATAATATAGTGAAAGAGCTGCGTTTCCAGTTTGCGTTTAAATGTCTGGGTGATATAATGAAGATTAATCCGAAGGAAAATATTGTCTTTAGTCCGCCTTGCATATATGAAGGACTTTTAATAATATATATAATGCTTAAAGGTAAAATTGAGAAGCGCTTAAAAAATATTCTTCTATTAACGGAGATCAGCAAAAAAGATTTGATGAATTACGGCGATCATATCAAATATTCAAAGGTAAATATTTCTGACCCATTTTTGAATTAGATGCAGTATTTTATAATATAATAGAAAAGTGTCAAAATTTGCAGTTTGTATATAAAATAACGTATAAAAATAAATGTGTAAAAGAATCCGTCAATTTGAAAGACCAATCAGAATAAATGGTTGAATGTGTTAATTAAAGAGAAATATAATTTTTTGCAAAATTTTAATGGTAGATTTTTTGTTTAATTTTCTAAAATTTTTTATATTAAAGTATCTCTATTATTTTCACATTATTTCACTTTGATTAATTCAAATAAAGTAATAAGGCGAATGCTACATATACATATAATATGTGCAACAATAAAAATTCCAAAGAAGCAGTTTAAAAATAATAGATATATTGTTTAGGAAAAAATGAATATTTTATAAATATTAATTTGACATTTTCTATTCCAGAATGCATCTCATGATTATCCCGAGCATTACAGTTACGATGCTTGCTGTTTTATTACACCTAATATATGTTTACAAGATGCATTATATCATATTATGTACACATCAGCCACAAAATTAGATTCGTTCAGAAATTCTGAGCATTTAACAAATTACATTAATGATAAAGTATTAAAGAATGCGGTACATGATTACATGAGTGATCCCTCGAGCTTAGCCGTAATTAGACCAGATACCGAATTTACATTGATGACAGTCATCCGTGGCAGGTTTCAAAAATTTCGATATTTACCGGCTGCTGAAGCTGATACACGAACTGCAGCAAGTCGCATTGACGTACGAAGAATTAGCTGTGAGTATATCATATTTTCATGTCTCTTAACTTAAATAATATAAATTATGACAGAATTTTTTTCAATTACTTTGAAACAAAACATAAATTTTATCAATTGGTATTGATTTGCATTAAAAGGAAAAAGTGTATATATATTGCTTTGACAATTATTTTATTTTTAATAGTTTAATGTTCAATTCAAATAAGACTTTTCATTTATATAAAACATTATGGATTCGAAAAAATGCATAATGATTTATACGGAGAGGACAAGTGTATTTCTCGTCTTAATTGCTTTCTGTAAAGTTTACTAATATTTATAATGCTTTATTTTAGACTTCCATAAGAATTTGGGAATACACGTGAACGAACACTATTATCAGAGCCGTCAGATATCATTATTCGTGTTCAGACTTGCTTCATTAATCTCTGGCAAATGTAGGATCAGCAAGTATAAGGATTCCAGAACTAACATTTGCGTTTTGATCGAGCAATTGTTAACCAGCGAGGGATTCAGCGAATTGCACAAAGTGCTAGATAGAAGTAAACCATTATCAGAAGAGGTCAGAACACCTTTCACATTGTTGCCGTCCTTCGAAGTGGAGAAAAATCTGACAATCCGTGAGCTGCTGCGAGCATTAGATGCTAAACCATTGTTGGAACCGGACGCGATCGATTTGGATCCTTCCACCGTTGAGGGAGATCAACTTAGTGTGCGCATCGGCAATGTCATGCACCGTTCTCAAGTCAAGGTCACGCAGAAGGACATCTTGGTGAGTGCGACAACCTTGATCCACACCGGACCAGAATCCTCTCCGAGCATCGAAATAGAAAACGAAAATTGTAATCATCCCTTCGTTTGGCTGATTTACGACAAAGAACGTCGAGAAATTCTCTTTATTGGCGCTTTTAATAAGTTCGCGAGTACACATTAGAGATCGGATACAAATTTTATTCAGAGGATACGCGAATAGGATATACAATTTGATATGATTTTATATAACAGATCTGTAGTTAAGTATTGCAAAATGATAGGTAATTGTCGAAGCTTTCTTTACCACTTATGCGATTTAATCTTTTGGTAATTTAATTGACATGTATTGTATTTTCTGCGCAATATACAACTGTAAAAAACTTCTGTTCAAAATTTAAGGACTGATTAAATATTTGTTTCGTCATTTTAATTTATTGTAGACGTGTCTTAATTTTATAAATTTCGAAAATTTAAAAAATTTAATAAAGCGCTATGCGCCCGTATTAATTTTGCAAATTTCAAAAACTAAAAGCAAATGAAAGATTGTATTCTCTACAGTTGTAAAAAAAAAATATATATATAGCGTACTATCAGATTAAATAATTTTATAATTTGGATTTTGTTGTTTTATATTTCTTTACTTTTCCTATATATTGACGTTTTTACATTTCCTATACAAGAACATAGAACACATCTTACATTAGAAAGCATTGACGTTATTATTTGATTATATCTATAACTTATAAATTTCGATAAAAACCAGTGAAAATATATACTTATATATATACCTGCAGACACATACTTATAAATTCATATGTATTCATACGTATACATTTATGCACTTGTGCATGTATGCATTTTTGTATAACATTTTCGTCATAACATTTATTAAGTGGTTATACCTACTTGTGAGGTCGAAAAGAACATGTATTTTTAGGAATTTTTCTTTTCAAACTGAAAGATTTTTTTAAATAAATGATTAATTATTCGAATGTATACATTGTGAAGATTTTATAGTATTTTTTTTATTACAAAATATAAAGAACAAAAAAGATATCAGCGATCTCCTCGAGAGCATTTTTTTGTTGGTTTTTTTGCAGTGACCACTGCAGCTCGTTTATCTGAAATAAACAATTCGAGCGAATTTAGTTAGTATATTAGTTTATCTAGTGCCCGATCCTGGCTTTTTTTTCGTTGCGTAGTTTTTTTACAGATAAAAATGAACGATTTTTTGGGTCAAAAATCGATACTTTAACTTTAAACAACCGCCATTTTGTCCCAAATTAATTTTTCGCGATAATGAACAATCGGGCACTAGATAAACTAATATACTAACCAAATTTGCTCCAATTTTTCATTTTAGATGAACAAGCTCAAAGCTACAGTGGTCATCGCAAAAAATTTACAAAGTGCTTTCGTAAAAATCGCTGATATTTTTTCTTATTTTGTAATAAAAAATATTATAGAATCTTCAAAATGTATACATTTAAATGATTAATCATATATTTTAAAAAAATTTTTCAGTTTAAAATAAAAATCCCTAAAAAGACATATTTTTTTCGACCTCATAGATAGATATAATTCCTTAAATTATTTTATTTTTATTCTATGGTAGGATATCATTTAGAAACGAAGAAATTGTACATATTCAAAATTTAACGATATATATTAATGTGCATATATTTATATATTGCTTATAAAATTGTAAGAATGTTAATTGTAGTATCAAAATTTAAAAGAGAAAAGAGAGATTCATCAAATATATGTAACAATGCGATGTTCTTGACTTTATATTAAATCTGTTATAATGTTGCTACAGTTTAATATAAATTATAATTATTTTTTCTTCTGCAAAAATATTTTATTAACTTTTTATTGTCCAACATGAACAGAATCGATGAATGTTTGACTTTTTAAAATTTTACGTACACTACGTACGTATATGTGTGTGGGTGAGTATAATTACATAAATGTAAAAAATTAAAAAATTTTAATTGTAAATAATTATTAACTATAAATATTTATAATCATAAAAATTGATATAACTAAATTTCGAATTTTTGACGTTAGTAAAATATGTTTGGTATATTGTTATCTCTGTGTGAGTGTGTTCGTGTATATATTATGATACTGCTCGAACAGTTACCTTCAGTCTATGAAGAATGGAGTGAGAGACAGTTTCAGATTAAAAATTATATATAAAAGTATATCGGGCAACAAGATATACCAAAAGGACAAATTAATTTTACATTTGGTTTAATTATAATTATCATACAAGTTAGATTCCATAACAAAGCTGTGAGACTGCAATTGCAAAATAATATTTCCATTAAAATTTGTTAAACTAAACATTTGCGGACTTCGTACACTTTTCTCTCTTCCTTTGCTTTTTTGTAACTAAAACAGAATGAAGAAAAAGATGATTCCGGAAGAAGCAACAAGAATTCGTAAGTTCATAAATTATTGTATAATTATATAATTATAGGGTTAATTTATCGAAACAATAATCTAAAATATATCTTGTTATGAATATATCTTTTTTTTTCACTTATTATTATGCATATACATAAATTGTAGCATTTGTTGCATTTGCCTAAAGAATTTATATTTTTATATAATTTAATGTCTATTTCTTGACAGGTAATTAAAAAGATTTAATTAACATAATCTTTTCTAAATCTGCATCAACTATAACTTAGATATATATATATATGTAAGATTAATTTTGGCGTATGACTTCGTCTGTTTTCACGGTAGAAAATATATTTAAGAGAACGTTATAACGTAAGATATATAAACATTACAAAATGTAACATTTATTTTGTTTGACATTAAATATTACTTTCTAGTCTTATTACAATATTCCATTGATTTTAAATTTTTTATATATTATATATTAAAAAATTTTAAATTAAAAGGAAATATCGTCTTTTAAATTCGATATGTATACTGAACCATGTTTAAACATAGTCATGGTAAAAATGATGTTTTAAAGAAGTCATATTATTAAACAATGATAACAATATATTAGTTATTATCCGTTTTATATTGTTTTCAATGTCTCAATGTCTATTATTGATTCTATCATTTTGATTTTAATATTAAATATGAATTGTGATATTTATTTGTATGTGTTTAAAAAGCATCTGTCGAATAAATTTCGATACATTATGCTTCTGATTTCGACATATATTTAATTGTATTAATTGAGGGAGTTTACAAAATGTGTTTATAAATTTTAACTTTAATTTATTACAATTCAATTACTAACTGTTTTTAATATTTCCTTCTTTTAATTCTATTTTTTAATTTATTTATCTGTTCTATACGCTAGAAAATATATTGAAGGAGATGCGTTTCCAGTTTGCGTTTAAATGTCTGGATGTTATAATGAAGATCAATCCAAAGGAAAATATTGTCTTTAGTCCGCCTTGCATATATAAAGGACTTTTAATAATATATTTAATGGTTAAAGGTGATATTGAGAAGCGCCTAAAAAATATTCTTCTCCTAACGGAGATCAGCAAACAAGATTTGATGAATTACGGTGATCATATCAAATATTCGAAGGTAAATATTTTTGACCCATTTTTGAATTAGATGCAGTATTTTATAATATAATAGAAAAGTGTCAACATTTGCAGTTTGTATATAAAATAACATATAAAAATAAATTCGTAAAAAGAACCGCCAATTTGAAAGACCAATAAATAGTTAATTGTGTTAATTAAAGAGAAATATATTTTTTTAATTATAATTCAACTCTTTGTCGCATCTTAAATTTGTTAATGAGCAGTTTTTTAATGGTAGATTTTTTGTTTAATTCTAAAATTTTTTTACATTAAAGTATCTTTATTATTCTCACATATTATTTCACTTTGATTAATTGAAATAAAGTAAGCTAACGAATATAGCTACATATAAATATAATGTTTGCAACAATAAAAATTTGAAAGATAGCAGTTTATAAATATAATATATCTATTTTCAAGGAAGAAATAAATATCTTATAAATATTAATTTAACATTTTCTATTCCAGAATGCATCTCAGGATTATCCCGAACATTACAGTTACGATGTTAGATGTCTTATTCAATTTGATTTAGATTTATATTATGCATTATATCATTTTATATACACATCAGTCATAAAATTTGATTTGTCCACGTATCATGAATGGGAAACAAATCACATTAATGATAAAGTATTAAAGAATGCGGTACATAATTACATGAGTGATCCCTCGAGCTTAGCCGTAATTAGACCAGATACCGAATTTACATTGATGACAGTCATCCGTGGCAGATTTCAAAAATTTCGATATTTACCGGCTGCTGAAGCTGATACACGAACTGTAGCAAGTCGCATTGACGCACGAAGAATTAGCTGTGAGCATATCATATTTTCATGTCTCTTAACTTAAATAATATAAATTATGACAGAATTTTTTCAATTACTTTGAAACAAAACATAAATTTTATCAATTGGTGTTGATTTGCATTAAAAGGAAAAAGTGTATATCTATATATATATATATATATATGTATGTATTGAAGAGTTAAATTCTCTTTAGTAAAAATAGAATTAAGATTAAATGTTTTTTGAAATTATTAAAAAAAAATTTTGGTTTTCATCGCTTTGACATTATTTTATTTTTAATAGTTTAATGTTCGATTCAAATAAGTTTGCGTGTCAAAGACTTTTCATTTATATGAAACATGGATTTGAAAAATGCAATGAAAAAATTTTTTATCAGTTGGTCCTCTTGTATTAAAAGGAAAATATGTGTGTATATATATATATATATATATATATATATATATATGCACGCAAACACATTTTGATGAAATATTGAGCAATTAAAAATAAAATAATTATCAAAGTGGCGAAAACCAAAATTATATCATTATCTTATTTTCAAAAAAAAGATACAATTGCAATATTATTTATTCTGAAGATAGTTAAACTCTTCAAGAGAAATATTGAACAATGAAAAATGAATTTTTTTATATATAAAAAAAAAACAATTGCCATTTTATTTATTCTAAAACCAGTTAAACTCATCTTCAAGATTTTAACTGTCTTTAGATTAAATAAAATTGCAATTGTATTTTTTTTTTTTTTAAATGTGAAAAAGATAATTTTGATTTTCGCCACTTTGACATTTAGTTTATTTTTAATTGTTCAATATTTCCTTAAAATGTGTTTACGTGTTAAAAATTTTTCATTCATATAAAATATGATGGATTTAATTTCTGTAGTTTACTAATATTTATAATGCTTTATTTTAGACTTCCATAAGAATTTGGGAATACACGTGAACGAACACTATTATCAGAGCCGTGAGATATCACTGTTCGTGTTCAGACCTGCTTCATTAATCTCAGGCAAATGTAGGATCAGCAAGTATAAGGATTCCAGAACTAACATTTGCGTTTTGATCAAGAAATTCTTAACCAAGGAATTCAGCGAATTGCACAAAGTGCTAGATAGAAGTGAACCATTATCAGAAGAGGTCGAAACACCTTTCACATTGTTGCCGTCCTTCGAAGTGGAGAAAAATCTGACAATCCGTGAGTTGCTGCTAGCATTAGGCGCTAAACAATTGTTGGAGTCGGACGCGATCGATTTGGATCCTTCCACCGTTGAGGGAGATCAACTCAGTGTGCGCATCGGCAATGTCATGCACCGTTCTCAAGTCAAGGTCACGCAGAAGGACATCTCGGCGAGTGCGGCAACCTTGATTCACCACGGACCGGGATCTTCTCCGAGCACCGAAATAGAAAACGAAAATTGTAATCATCCCTTCGTTTGGCTGATTTATGACAAAGAGCGTCGAGAAATTCTCTTTATTGGCGCTTTTAATAAGTTTGCGAGTACATATTAGATATCGGATACAAATTTCATTCGGAGGATACACGAATAGAATATACAATTTGAAACGATTTTATTTAACAGATCTACGTAGTTACGCATTGCAAAATGATAGGAAATTGTTGAAGCGCTTTTTACCACTTATGCGATTTAACCTCTTGGTGATTTAATTGACATGTATTTTATTTTGTGCGCTAAATACAACTAAAACAACTTTTGTTCAAAGTTTAGGAGGCTAACGAAGTAATCGTATCGTCATTTTAATTTATTGTAAACTTGTCTTAATTTTGTAAATTTCAAAAACTAATAAAAATTTTATGTGCGTTGTGCGTCTGTATTTGTTTTGCAAACTTTAAGAACTAAACTAAACAAATGAAAACTCGTATTCTCTACAGTTGTAAAAAAGTATTTAGAGTGCTATCAGAGAGGATTAAATTATTGTATAATTTGAATTTTACTGTTTAACATTTTTTTATTTTTCCCATATATAAATAAGGACATAAAACATAACATACATTAGAAAGCATTAACATTTTATTTGATTATAACTTATTAATTTCGATAGACCAGTGAAAATTCAGTTTTTTTTAAAATAATTACAATATGTATCTTTTTGATCAAATTATGACTCAAATGTTGTTTATTTGTAATAAATAAAAAATTCCTTTTATTTTTCCTTATTAAATCGTGTACCAGAAATAGATCTCTTTCAGTTTTATTTAGTGCAGTTAAATTTTTTTTAAGAAAATATATTTTAAAAAACAAATCCGGTAAAAAATAGAAAGATATAAAACATCCGATCTGATAAATGACCAAATAAGACTCTTGCTTTTATAACCATGTAGATTTTTACATGATAACTTGTGTTTCATTTTCGTATGTTATCATACCGCAAATGCGGCAAATATCGTCAATTTTAAGTGGTCTTTCGAAATAATAAGATCTATCAAAAGCGGTACACTTTTGGCGAGTAATTCAACGGGATTCAACAAAAGGTAAATCAAATATAATATTAAAATATTTTCTTTCCAATTTTAAATATTTAAAATACGTATAGAAGATAAATTAAGATTGCAGCATCTTATTTTAATAAAATACAAAAATTATATTATCGAATTGTTTGCAGCTTTATAAATATATAAAAAGGAAATTTAATTTTAAAATATAATAATGTGTAGGGATACGCGTGAAGGAAAGTATTGCGGAATAAAATTTGTTCATTTTGTTACAAGTTAAATATTTCTTTTAAATTTTATCAATTATAATCCATCAAACTCGAATTTGAAATCTTTTGTCTATTTAATAATTTATATTTATAATGTAGTAGTAATATAATTTATAGTAATATAATTAACAATATAATTTATATATAAATATATATTAATATATAATAATATATTTTTAATATGTATAAAATAAAAAATATTTATAATTTTTATAATTTAATTTCATAAATAATTTGTGAATTTTTTGACACTAAAAATCAAATAGTATGTTTCTTATATATGTGATGCTTTGTGTGTGTGTATTCGTGCGTGTTTATTTCTACATGTATTGATTCTGACAGTAATGTTTTCCTTCGTTGAGGACAAAATGTAAAGCCAGAGAACGGCTTCAGATTTGCAAGTTCTTCAGTACAATCACAGACCAAGGTATCGAGCGGACGAAATTATTTGGCACTAAATACAATTTTTCGCGAAGAAACTCACACTCAAAATAACTAATAATACGTGAGAAGAAGAGTTGCAAAATAATATTGTGAGAATCTAATAAATAAAAGAATTGTGTTTCGCGTTTATCTGTTATAACTTTTTACACAATTTTGTTATAACATTTATTTTTAAACAATATGAGCGAGAATTTGGAGCAAATAGAATGCGCTAAGGACGATAAAGAAGAAAAAAGAAGTAAGTTTAACATTTTTGTATACAATTATGTTTAATAGCAGTCTATTTTTTAAATTGATAATTATCTAAAATATACGTTAAGATGCTAATATATATTTGTGTTAATATGTCAAATATTGTTTTCAAGTAAATTTACATTCGGATAAAATTCAGTGAACATCACTTCGTGTAAAATCTGTATTAAGCATATATTAAAAAAAATGTATCTATAGTTTTAAATATACACAAAATAAGTTTGAGATATAACTTCGTCAGCATCCACAGTAAAAAGTATATTTGAGTTGAGAAAAAATGAGATAAATAAAATTATGTTACAGAATACAATTTTTTTGTTGTTAAAAATTAAATATTACTTTCAAGTTTCATCAATAATAATCAATCTACTTCGAATTTAAACGTAAGAATAAATCTGCGATTCTTTTTTACCTTTTTCTTTTTATTGTTATTTCATGTTGATTTTATTGCATTACCAGTGTGAAATTAAATGTAAGTGTAATTTTATCTCTACGTATGCAAGATAATTGAAAGATTTATTTCAATATATTGTTTTTGCATTTAATGTATTTTTCATTTACATATATTGCAAATTGTTATAATTCATGATATAAGTTTAGTTAATAGTTGCATTATAATGAAATTATTTTCTCATTGTAATATTTTTTCTTCTAATTAATTGAATTTTTTTAAGTGTGTTTCATAGATGATAAAATAAAGGAAAGGCGCTTCGAGTTTGCGATACAATGTCTGCGTAAAGTTATAAAGATCGAGAAAAATATTGTCTTATGTCCAAATAGCCTGTATGACGGACTCTGTGCAATGCTCGATTGTAACATTAATAACCTAAAAGAACTCCTTAAACTAAAAAATTTATCGGGTGATACGTTAAAAAAATATATGCACAATAAAAGAAAAAAGGAGGTAAATAATCCTTATGTATTTTTTGTAAAAAAAAAAAATAATAATAATAATAATAATGCATACAATAATAAAAAAAGATTAAAAATTTACATCCTAGACTATTTTCAATTATACGTAAAAACAATTTTATCAAACGCAAAATTTGCAACTCTAAAAAAGTGATTTATTCAACAATGATAGCGATGACATGAAATACAGATATAATTTTAAGAGAAATAAAAGTTCTTGAAATTCTTTAAAATGTTAAATCTGCCATCGATTAATTCAAATAAAGAGTTGCTTTTTAATAAAATTCAGAGACATTTATTGAAACATTTCGATACATATGACTATTTGTTTATTTAGATCAATTTAAATGAAGTAATTAACTATTATAGAGTATAATACGTACACACATAAGATATGCATATAAGAATAAAACCTAGGTTTTATTAAATTAAATTGTTTCATTAAAGCTTTAATAAAACAATTTTGAGAAGACAAATATTTATTATTTAAAAAAAAAAAAAAATTCTAACTTATATCTTTTTCTTGACATTCTTAGTTAGATAAATGTGAAAACGCGTCTGACGCTTATTATATTGCTGACTCTCTATGTTGGATTGAAAATAATTCAAAATATTCACATCTTAAGATTAATCATTGTTTCGACAAGTTTGAACAAATACATTTTACCGAGTCTCCGCAAGTGCAAATAAGGGAAATTAATGCAATTATGAAGGAATATATATCAGGGATCATTTCTAATCCCGTGGAACTGAACGAAAATACCACGAAGATAGAACTTATATTGACAAATACTTTCCGTTTAGATGAAAGAAAGTTCGAAGCAATGCCAATAGCCAGTTCATCTGGCAAATCAGCAAAAAGGATTTTTTTAGAACGAAAGTGCAGAAGCTGTAAGCATGCCAAACTTTTTATTTTAACTCTTTTATTTACCATAATATTTTTAATATTTATTTTTTTTAATTTATTATAAACAAATTATATTTTGTAAATATATTTTATTTGGTAATAAGCACGCGGCTTTAATCATTTTATAAAATAACGCGAAAATAAATAAAAAGGTCTTAATAAGGTCTTTTCAAGTATTAAGAAAATGTTGAATTTTTGTCTATTTAAAATAAAATATAAATATATCTTTGTACTTGAAAAGCCTAAAAGACAACAGAAAAAATTATTTTATGGGCAGCAATTGTAAAGAAATTGTCACAGTAGAATGTATGTAAAATGTGCATTTATCGATAAAAAAAAAATTAAAATATTATATGCATTGAGATGAATGATTTAATTTGAATAAATGATACATTTTTAAATAATGAAAGTAATTGCTAAATGTTTGGAATGTTTAAATGCACTAATTTTGTAACTTTTTTATTTTCTATATACTAAATTAAAATCTGTGTTTACGCGAATAATTTTATATTCTTGAAAATGTGAACTGTTCTGTGCAATTTTTAAAAATTTCATTCTCAATAACCAAATGTATTTCCGATTACATTGATTCATCTATATCTTCTACTGTTCCTTATATTATAAATACCTTTTTTAGCCTTCTCGCCCGAATTTAAAATGCATGTGAGCGAGTTTCCCCACGAGAAAAGTGACACATCGCTATATATATTGTTACCGGCTTCGTTTATTTCAAAGCAATGGAAGATCAAAGAAAATATCAGACACGATGACCTACGCCGTTTGACCGATCATTTTTCGGACTATGAGAATATCATGAAATTGCGGGAGCTGCTCAAGACGATATCGAAGAAAGAAGATGATACAGATCTCCTGACATGCCCGGTCTTCGAGTTGGAAATAAGTCTGAAAATCCATGACCTGCTTAAGGCCTTCGAAAAATCATCCGGCAGTTCGAGAAATAGGAGCAAGGAACACATAATCCAAGGTGTGCACCGTGCTTGTGTCAAAGTTTCGGAAGAGAACACCAAAGCTGGTGGAATTAACGTGATCTGTAAAGAACGAGCGTTCTTACCGAGTCCCAGAAAAGTCTATGTGGATTGCGATTATCCGTTCATCTGGTTCATCTATGAAAAAGAAATTCAAGAAATTCTCTTTATAGGTGTTTGTGAAAAATCCGACAAGTTCTAAGTTGGACGGTCGTATATAAATTAATTGGTCCATCATGAGAAATTGCGATGGCAAAAGTGTATTGGAAAATGACGTAATTATGAAAGCGATTTACATTTTTTCTCTTTCTCGAGTCAACTTTTTATTACGAGAATTCATTATATGTTATTCTCGATTTATTTTATTAGGGTTTTCTATTAATCGTAGCTTAATTAATGAAATAAATCACTCTCTTCGTCATTCAAATTTAATATTTGCTTGTTATTAAAATTATAGATTTTCGAAACTCGAGAATGAGAGAAAGGTTCGTAGTCTGCAAAGATCTTTTTGAAAATTTCTGCGATGCTCGTAAATTTATTTTTGTATTGGAATACAATTTTATTTTTATACTTTATAAATTTATTTATAATTTTATTGCTATATTTCTTACTTTTTTTATTGATTCAGAACAAGATTGTAAAACATAGTGTTTAGTAAAAAAAACTCTGATATTATTGTCTGTTGCCACACAATAATTATTTGATAAAGAAGTGAATTAATATGTACTGCGTATATATGTAGGGTGTTTTATAATATATACACAATATTTTATGTGCGCATTTTGAAATGGAATCAGAAATCCTAATGTAAAAATATTCAAATATATCTACGTAATTATTTATAATACTTTTTAAATGCCATTATTTTATTTTTTAATTGGAAAATATATTTAGAGCAGAAACAAACTTCATAATTGCTTTCATAATTGAATATTGTATAAATGCGCATATTATACATATGTATTTAAATAGTGTCAACAAAATTGATAATAGTATTAATTGTGTAAGTGATATAAAAAATATAATAGAAAATATACTCTCTTCTCCTCTTAAATATGTGATTAGCATTATTAATAAAAATTTTGAGCTGGAATTACAGCATTACTTCGCACACTTCTTTAATTTAATTTTTAAAATTGTTAAAAAAATAACACGAGTTTTTCAAGATTATATGATGTGAGATATTTTATAAGTTTCAATTTCAAAATATAGATAAATAATAATTATATAAAAGCTTATACTTTTTATACAAAAATTATATTAAATTTTATATTTGAATTCAAGTATACTTTTTTCGTATTAATTAAATTTAGATGTTATCTAATGGTTGCGATTCAACTTTTTATCAATTTCAATTTGCATGCATTATATTATGTTCTATATATTATATATTCTATTAGAAATTTCTATAATCATATAGTTTCATTGAATGAGTCAATCTCTTCGTTCTTTATAATCATAACAAAAATTGCCCCTTTTGTTACAAATTATAATTAAGTTCATTAAATGTAACTTTATTTAATAAAATAATTAATTATTGATTTTCCTTTTTTATATATATTTATCAAATAAATATTAAAATAATTATATAATATTATATAATATATAATATCAGCCTATGTGTCCTTTTTTCATCCAACGCCGCAATTTTAATTTCTTGCTTTTTTAATTGACTTAGGACAAGATTTGAAAATATAATTTTTATTAAGAAATATTGATATTATCATATATTGCCATAGATAATAATTTTCGATAAAGAAGTGAATTAATATACACTGCATATGTATATTATGTAAGTGTTTTACAACCTCTATACAATATTTTATATGCGCGATCTGAAAGTGAAAAAGAATGATTATAATTAATCATAAATACAACTCTTTATTTGTAGTTTTTTAAATTTTTTGTGTGCATAATTTTTTCTTTTATTTAGTGTTACAGCGTTAATATATTTGTATGACGGACTTTAAATATATTACAGTTACAATAATTTTCTTTAGCTGCAAAATTTGATGTAAATGAAAATAAAAATTTTACCTTTTATTTCACATGTAAAACTTTCTTTTCATATATTTTCTTTAAAATATTTGAAAAAATAACAAGAGCTTATATTTTATTTGCATGCGTATTTGTTAATAACTATAAATTATTTTTCAATCTAAAAAAGGTACCGTATGTGTAGATGCGTGAATTAAATTTGTCTAAATAAATCTATTTTCTAGTTTCTAAAAACATTGGGGTTTAGCATTCTACAGATACCACAATGGTTACAATGTAATTAAATTATATTAATTTATATACTTATTATAAAAATTAAATTTATATATATACTTATTAAATTTTAAAATATTAATACATATAAATAATTATTTTATTTGTATCTTCAAAAAGTATTTCAAATTATTTCACGGATAATATTCGTGTAAATTGAAATAATGTTTTACATAGCAAGTTTCTTGCGCAAAATCATTGTTAGCTAACCAGAAACCGCCACATTATTGTGATTCTTCCTATCTAGATGAACCATTACAGCCAAACAATTTGTCGAAACAACAATAAACTCGAGCAATCCTTATAGTTCAAGTTATAATCGAGCCTTGATAGCTTTGCGATTGTATAAACCATGTCAACAATGGAAGAATTTTTAATTCGTGAGTTGAAAAATATATGATAAAATTACATAATTTTAGCGTAGATTTATTTTAATTTCGAATAAATAAAATTTAAATAAAATATTTATTTTTACGCACACACATATAAAAATACACACCGAAATAAGCTTTTTATACTAATATTTTATACATAAATTTATTAATTAAAATTCATACTCTTTCATGTTAAATTGAAAATATTTCAAAATCACGTGCATTTTTTCGTATATATATTAGTATTGATTCTATTTTAGAAAAGTGTTTCTCGTTTCCATTAAATTTATATACAAGAAATTCTATAATTTCGGTTTCTAATGTATGTGATAAATAAATATTATTTAAGTGAGTGTAGATATTATTTTTAAACTGATTTTGTTAAATACAAAAATTATAAAACATTATAATTTAATTTTTTCGATAAAAAATAATATGACCATCGATCACACAAATTTTATTCATCTTGCTTTCTGGAAAAGACAGACAATTTAACAAAGTTTTTATGTAGCCATATTAGTAAACAAAACAAGCCAAAATCTGTCATTTCTATATTGTTATCAATTTTGTTATGTTAAGTTAGGAACTTCCTTTTTTTATATTTTAATTGTCTTAATTTTAACAAACATATATATATATATATATATATTATTTAGTAAAAAATTTTATTCGTTAGAAATAAATATTTGATAAAAATATGTTTGAGTATTTTGTATTTGACGTTTAAAATTAAATTAGGAATTGCGACAAAAATAAATCAATGCGAATAATTGGCATGCAAACTAATTGTTGAATAAATTCCACACTGATCAAGTTGCACCTTGCATTAATTTAATTTGGTTGCAATGAGATGAGTATAATTAATGTGATTTATTACCTGTAATATCTATGCTTATTACACTTTTTAGTCGAATTTTCTTATTTGTCTTTTATGTTTATCAGCGTATAAACAAAAGTTAAGCCGTAATCGATTCGCCGTTGAATGTCTGGAAAAGCTTATGCAAATGATGCCCTTGCAAGATTTTGTATTTAGTCCGTATAGTATATATGAGGGACTTATGATGGTTTACTTTGCATCCAATGGTGACACAGAAAAACGTTTAAAAACCATCTTACATTTGCCTGATAACTTTGCCAAAGCTAATTGGTTATCATACTACTCAAAGGAGATAAGAAAAAATGTAAGTAATTAGATATGTCAAAAACATTTGTACATGATTTATCGTCACATTAAAATCTTCAAGATTTTCATAAATCATTATCTCAGAATTTTTCGATTTTAAGATTTATTGTGATAAAATCGTTGATTATTTACTAAATGATGGATAAATATTAAGATAAAATTATTTTTTAACATAATGAAACGTTTCCGATTCTTTCTTTAAAAGCTAATAAGTAATGATAAAAATAGGTTGCTAGATTGCTAAATTTGTTCTGTAGACAGTTTTGCATAAAATAACATATAATCGATTGAAACTAGACTAGAAAACTGTATCACATTAAATAATTTATTAACAGTTGAAGATGAAATATATTTTTAAGCGAAAGAAAAAATCTAAAAAGCTAAAAATTACAATTTTGTCATTAAGACATTTTTATATAATAAAGTTTTGGAAAAAAAGCTATTATTTGCCTGGTATAATCTATACAAACGAATTTAAAACAGATTTTGCAATCGGCTAATTTTGGATATTTTTTGTTTCAGAACAGGGAGAAATTCAACAAATATTATGACCAAAAGATTTGTTGGATTCACAAAAATAAAAATTTAAAAGATGTCACATCAACTTTATTTAATCCACAGAAGTGTTTAAAGTTAGATCCTTCCACTTCTAATTTTAAGCAAGAAATTAACACAGTATTGAAAAATGAAATGCAAGATTGTTTACTTTCATGCATAAATTTTAAAAACATTACTGAAAATATGGAATTTATTTTGTCGTCCGTACTTTGTTTCAAAGGCCAAATTCAACAGGCTAACAATCTTTTTGAGCTAGAAAATAATTCATTGAGAGCACCTAAAATCAGTAAGAAATACATTACTTATTTTAATATTATTTTATTTATATCTTTACAGAAACTGTATACAACAAAATCTTATTTGATCAAATTTTATTCAATTAATTTTAATTGGCTGATCAGGCAATATATTTGAAAGCTTTGTCTATGAAATCCAGCATTAAATTTTATAATATTAATTTTAGTCAGATCAAAATTTTAATATAATAAATATTTTTAATTTCTTTTCTTATAAGATTAAACACACACATGTTTCTGATATCTACAAATTTTATTCTTAAATTTTTATATGTGATCGAATTGTAATTATGTAATTAATTATTATTACATATGCAATATTTGCATTCTCAAAATTAAATATTATATATTAAATTATTATTATTATTATTAAAATTATTATTATTATTAAATAATAATTATTATTATTTAATTTTAAGAATGCAATAATCTTTACATTTTTAAAAATCTTCGATGATAAAGTCAAGATATTGATAAGCCAACAATCTATTTTGGCTCATTTACTTTTACTTTTTTGTGGCATTATAGTTTCAAAAAAATTATTTTAAATCTATTATATTATATATTAAATTATTATTATTTAATTTTAAATTATTATTTTTATTATTTAAATTGTTATTTTTATTATTTAAATTATTATTATTATTATTTTTAAATAATAATAATTATTATTTAATTTTAAGAATGCAATAATCTTTACATTTTTAAAAATCTTTGACGATAAAGTCAAGATATTGATAAGCCAACAATCTATTTTGGCTCATTTATTTTCACTTTTTTGTGGCATATAGTTTCAAAAAAAAATTATTTTAGGTCTATCTTCCAAACTAAAAGTGTTCGTGACAGAGTTACCATTCGGTGTTAAGCAGTCGCTTTATATGTTATTTCCGGCTGAGCAGCTAAATTCTCATACTTGGAAAACTAATGAGAACTTAATTGAAGTGATTAAAAAATTGTCGTCCGACGATACAATGACAGATTTTTATACGATGCTGGACGACAACACGTCGTTGGAACAGTTGTCAAGAGAGACTTTTATACACCCAATAAATATATTCGAAGTGCAGGAGGAACTGCCGGTCAGTCAACTGTTGTTCAATTTGAACATTCTTCAATTATTGGAGCCCAACGTAGCCGAGCTAAATAATTTTACTCAGGAAAATCTGCTGCTTGGTAGTTGCATGCATCGTGCATACATCAAGGTGACAGAAGACAACGTCATCGCCAGAGCGATAAATATGTTTCTGACCAAAGACGAACTTACACTATTTAAAACGTATTGTAAGGATACAAGCTACACCAAACAGAATCGTTCATTCGTTTGGCTGATTTATGATAAATTTAACCGCACCATTCTTTTCACTGGCGTGATCAATAAGAGTCCCGAGCAGGAACCAGTCAGCCTTTTATTGCGTACTCGTTCTGCTTCAGTTTCATTTTAAAATAGAATTAAAATAAAATAATATACGAGATAAGATATTTTGTAAACTTCAATTTTGAAATCAACATAAGCAATAATAATTATATAAAAGCTTAATTCTTAATATAAAAATGTATATTAAAGTTTGTAGGTATTTGAATTTATTTTATAATTTTCGTGTTATTAATTAAATTTAGATATCATGAAATGTTTGCACACTCGTATTGCAATAGATAAATATTTTACAACAATTTTTATTTATTGTAACCATTTTATAAATTATTGTAACAATTTTTATAAATTGTATTCAACGCAAATAGATCTAAATTCTTGAAAATATCAAATATTCTTATGTGTATTTTGAAAAATGTATTTCCGATTTCATAGATTTATTTATCTTTACCAGCTTTTATTGCTCCTTATATTATTTTTTTTAATTTTCGTGCCATATTTAAAAACGCACGCCATTATTATTATTTTAGTGTATTATATTTTTGTTATCTTATTTAGTATTACGAATTAAATATAGGATTCAGTTTATGAGTTACATTCATCATTTACATTATATTTAATATTGTTATGTCTTATTGTTAATTAGTTATTGAACGAATCGTCTATAGATGGGATATTCATTAGATATTTATTTGTAAAATTAATCGAGGCTAAAATTTATCTCTAAACGATGCTGCCATCGTTTCGACGAGAGCTCGTGAAAGTAGAATTGGGATCCAGATCTGTCTCCCTTCCAGGTTTTTTTCCGGTTTTGTCCGCTCCAAAAAAAATGAACAACTCTGCAACGATTTTAAAAAAACAATAAACTCAGACAAAATAAACCTTATTAAGGGAATGCCGGATGATGTTTTTACCGACCGCATGCAATAATGCGATAATTATCGACAATTTTAGTTCCACTCAAATGAGGGCGCTAACCGTCGGAATTCGGCCAACGGTCCCGGCATCTCCTTAAATAAGAACTTTGATTGTTAATTACAACAAAACTCTGTTTTTAAATCTTTCATTTTATCGATTTCTATATTATTTGATATTTCCATTTCATCTATTTTGTCCTGCAGTTTCTTTCAGTTTCCGGAACTAAGGATTCAGTCCATCCTCCATGAAAATGAGTGGGAGAACAGGCAGGCTCGCTACATGGTGTCTGTGCTTTGTGCTAGCACCGGCTAGCAGAACGAGTTTGTTCGCGTCCGTTGATGTGTTCAAACGTGTTTTGTCTGCACACATTTTTTTCTTTGTGATCCATTGTCCATTGTGGACCTAATTATACAGTATACCCGCTGATCGTACCCCTTTATTAATTCTATTTTTGAATTTCAATTATAACCAGCTAATGGCCGTAAGTCGTATTTGAGATTGGGTCAAAAAAGAAGCGAAACAGAAGAAGCCTACCACGTGGAGTAACACCACGTGCGAATTAGCAAATTCTTTACAATAAGGGCTTGCAATTGCTTCTTGCTTGGGTTTTGCATAAAACGCTTCTTTGGTTTTCTCGAATCATTCTAATGGCCGTCAGTCTGCAGGAAGCGAACTAGACAACTGCAGCAAGACATCCTCCAAATACGAGGTAAGTTAACTTGCATTTACTTAAGGCGCGTATCCATGTGATTGACGCGGACATACGTTATTATTTCATTATTATTGAAACATTTGCATTAGGGTTGCACGAGACCCAAGACAAGACAATATTCCCGAAAATTTTTGTACCAAAAATCTTGTCTTGTCTCGATTTTTTAACAATTTTTATCTAATTCACTAAATTGTCTAAATAATATTTAAATATAATACTAACTAAAAATATAAAACTAAAATAATATTTAATATATTATGATATGATATAATAAGATAATTATTTATTTTTGTGGGTAAAATCTTCTTTAATATTAACAATTTCATTTATAAATATTTATATTTCTTTTAAACATGATTTTACTTGAAAGAATATTAAGAATATTAATATTACTGTATTAATTTCTGTGTTTCTAAATTTACCAATATATAAATGTTTTTATTTGCTAACAATAAGTAAAATTTGTTTTTCCCGCCTATTTCCACATTTTTTGTAATTAGAATTTCGGAGATCGGAAACGATTAAATAACTTTTTTAAAAACCAAGACTTCTTGACAAGAATCTTGATAATTTTGTCTTGATAATTTTGTCTTAATATTTTTGTCTTGATAATTTAAAATCTTGTGTTGATCTTGTCTCGAATTTCGAGACAAGACCAAGACTAGTCTTGGTATCTTGTACCCCTAATTTGCTTATTATCGCATTTTTTCTTTCTTTTTAATTGATTAATCCCCAAGGAGAGATTTGAAATTATACCCTCCCCAACTAATGAATTCATGAGTTAATGAGTTTCCACTAAATAATGGTGACACCAGTGGCGTAGCTACTTTGGGGGCCCCGTGGCAAAAAAAACGTATACGCAAATTCGGCTCTTATATAGAAAAGTTGCAAGCTGCTTAGCTTTTAGCTAATTAACTTACAATTTTTTTGTAAAAACTGAATTTATACGTTTCTTACATTTTTTGTAAAAGAATATTAAGAATATTAATATTAGTGTATTAATTTCTGTGTTTCTAAATTTATCAATATATAAATGTTTTTACTTGCTAAAAATAAAAGTAAAATTTGTTTTACAAAAAACTGAATTCATACGTTTCTTTTGCAAATAAATTCAAGAATCGAGCCATTGGATATTTAAGGGCCCCCGGGACGTGCCTCGACTTCCCGGCTGATAGCTACGCCACTGGGCGACAATCGTGTTACCTGCTAAAATAATCCCAGACAAATGGACGGTCACACTAAAGATAACATTTTTTATTTGGTCCACTGATTGTCGAAGCGTAAAGGAGCCATGGAGTTGCGGAATCGAATGTATATATACATATATGTACTTTACAATCTTCGATCTTCGTAAAAAGTTGTCCCCTTCTTTTACTAATTATAATTAAATTCATTACGTGGAACTTTATTTAAATAAATGTAATTAATTATTGAATTACCTTTTGTACATTTATTAAATGTTTATTAAAACAATTATATAATATATAATATATAATATAATATAATAAATATATAATATAATAAATAAAATATATATAAAAATAAATATATAATATAATAAAAAGTGACAAATTAATGTCACAGACTGTTGATGTCATTACATATACGTCATAAAGCAAATTATTTGATAACGTCTTTTTATCGCTAAATGTAATTTGTAAATATATTAAATATTAATAAAAAAACTATTTAGTTATACAATAAATGCTATTTATTGCACAAAGTATTTTATCGCAAAGTGTTTACAAAGTAAATATTGCATTGAAGCACATAAACACATATATAATATAATATACATTTTGTACGTTGCAGTTAATTAAATCAAATTAACTAAAGTTAAATCGTAAAAGTAATAGGTACTATAAAATAACTATATAAGAACTAATTATTATATAATGATATATAATGCTATATAAATATTAATATATATATATGTTTATAATAATAATATATAATAATAAAATTATATTTATATATTTATTTATTTATATGATTCGGAATTGTTTGAAGTAAAATCAAATCTGATTCTTTCACTACAAAAAGATAAAAAAAAACTGATTAGTTTCAAACATTATTATATATATATTAATCACAAAATGTGTTGCGTGAAAAATGATTACGCTGAGGGCATGTGCTCGCCACACGTGACTCTGGAAGGAGTGCGTCAGCGACTGTGTGGTCGAAAAGAATTTTGACTCTTCTTCTTTCACAATATTTATTTGCTTCGGTTAGAATACAAGCTAGTTTCGTTGCACTTAAGGGTAACTAATAGCGTTATCGCGGGTAAAATATACTGGACGCCTTTGTTCTCGAGACAAACGTGTCGCCTCACGCTTGCGTCCGCTTCTCTCCGCGATCGAGTCAGCTCTGATCCGCTCTCCCGAGTGGAGGGCTCCTAAGCACGCCCTCTGCCGAGTATTAAGCGAGGAGCACACACTTTTGCATAGGCGCATAAGCATAAGCGTAAGCATAAAAATCTTGATTGGTCTATAAATGTATGCACAAGAAATTCAACCAATCGAATTTCTTATGCGCTTATGCAAGAGTGTGCTTCCCGCTTTACTACGTGCGATAAGGCGCGGTCCCAAACTCGCGCGTGAAAGACAAGTTAAAATAAATCGTTTTTTTTACGATACAGAATGAAAAAAAATCTAATCAATTACTATGATAAATTATTTTCGTACAAATAAATATATTTAAAATATATTTGAAAAATTTTAATATTAATTTTTTAGTTTAATTTTCAATTGTTTTATTCACATAAACGCATTACATAATTTGCAATTTCAAACACACACATATTAGATAAACTAAATTATAATACATGCACATGTAGTTTTAAACATACATAGATCTATCTGTTGAGAGAGTAAAAATTTTAAGAAATTATTTGGGGGAATTTGTAAGTTCATCAATCTCAACTATTGTAGTATCCAATCGTGACTTAGTCTCCGAACCAGAATGCACAAGACGCTTACTGAATATTAGTTCAAATAAAACATATTACAATAAATAGTTTGAAACATATATCCATTTCGTTAAATATAATTGTATATGTCAAATTATGATACTTTTTTTTACACATGACGTCAATAGAGTGAAAATGATTAATTTTCGACGTCAAATGGATATATAATATCAACACGTGTCTTTTTTCCATCCAACGCATCAATTTTATTATAATCTTAATTTATTCTTGCATTTTTAATTGATTCAGGGAAAAACATAGTTTTGATTAAAGATTATTATTGTCTGTCGCAATATATTGTCAATTTCGATGAGGATGTAAATTAACGTACACTGTGTATATATGAACTTTACATTCTCTATACAATATTATGTGTGTGATTTGGAAGTGAAAAGGTACGATTATAATTAATCATAAATTCAATTTTGTTATATTTCTTCAAATTTTTTGTGTATAATTCTTTTTCTTCAATTTAGTGTTATAGCGTTATTCTTTTGGTATAATAGACTTTAATTGTATCGTAATTATAATAATTTTTTATCATTTACAAAGATTGATGTAACTAAAAATAGAATTTTTTTTTATACGTGTAAAGCTTTCTTTATATATATATATATGAAATAATATATATATACTTTTTCGTCTTTATAAATATTAAAAAAATAATAAAAGCTTAAATTTAATTTGCATGCGTATATTTAACAACTTTAAATAATTTTCTAACACATTTCTATAAAGATAACGTATAATAATATATATTAAATAATATTAAATAATATAATCTATTTAGCGAGAATGCCTGGACAATAATTTGCATGTTTATTTATAATATCTTTGTATCATAATATATAAGATGACGATTAGTTTATAATTAAATTTTATAGATAATTTCTGAATCTTTGACAATAGGAATCAAATAATATATTTCGTACGTACAATATATATATACTAATGTGGGTATATGAATTCATGTGTATTCGTGTTTATGTGTATATGTTTTGATCCGGAGAATAATGTTTCCTTTCGTCAAGGGTAAAATGTAAAGCCGGAGAACCGTTTCAGATGTCAAAGTTGTCAGTTTGACGGTCGTCAGAATCACGGAGAAAAGCATCTCGAGTGGACGGAGTAATTGTGATAAGCTATTAAATAAAGAATTGTGTGTTTTGCGTTCATCTGTAATTTTGTTAGAACGTTTTAAACAAAATGGCTGAATGTGCAGGTCCATCAAAAGACGGACTGGGCCCGTCGGTATCGGATTGCGAAGATGATGGTAAGTTTGAAGATTTTTGTATAAAATTATGTTTAATATTAGTTCAATTTTTTGAATTGATAATAATCTGAAATACATATATATTATGCAGATATATCAGAAAACATATCGGATTTGGAAAATGATGGTAAGTTTGAAGATTTTTGTATAAAATTATGTTTAATATTAGTTCAATTTTTGAATTGATAAATAATCTAAAATACATATATATTATGCAGATATATCAGAAGATATATCGGATTGGGAAGATGATGGTAAGTCCGAAGATTTTTGTATAAAATTTTTGTTTAATATTAGTCAAATTTTTCGAATTGATAATAATCTGAAATACATATATATTAAGATGCAAAAATACATATCTATTAAGAATACATATATAAGAAAAATACATATATATTAAGATGCAATGTAGTGAATAATCACGCGTACTTTATTTTTCGAAATCTGATAGCATTAATTATATTAGCGAATTGTATCAATTTTTAAATATACTAAACAAAACAAGTTTAAGATCAAGGAGCTCATCAGTGTTCAAGCCAAAAATATTTGTGTAAATAAAAGAGATAGATAAAATTATATTACAAAATGTAACTTCTCATTATTACACATATTAAATAATTTTTTTCATATTTATCATTATTTCAACATTAATAATCCATCTATTTCATTGTTTTTGTATCGGAAATATAAATAAATCGCCGTTTTACGAGTTTACATATAGACAAAGTAAGAAAATAGGCAATTATATATTTAATTTAGTAAATGTAAAAATACATTTGCAAATCTTTTTCCTTTTTTTTCTATATAATGTTATTTAATTTATATTGATTTTATCGCATCGCATGTGTAAATTTATTTGTACGTGTAACAAAATTTATAGATCCATATGCAAGATAATTGAATGAATGAAATTCGACACACAGTTTTTGCATCTAATGTATTTTGCATTTATATGTATTGTTAATTATTATATCTTGTCAATTATGATTAGTTTAATTTAGTGTATTATAATTAATTTACTTTCTTATTGTAACATATTTTTTCTTTGATTATTTAATAAATTTAATTTTTACTTTTATATTCGCTAGTTGATCAAATAAAGGAAATGCGTTTCCAATTTGCAATCCAATGGTTGTATAAAATTATGCAAAGCGAGAATGATGTTGTGTCATGTCCGTTTAGCCTTCATGATGGACTTCTTAGAATTTATTTAACGGTCTATGATGACAGTAAGGAACTCTTGAAACGCATCATTTTTAAATCAAGTTATTTCAAACATTGGATTAAACCTAAGATAGAAAATTATACATCTTATAGACACCGCTTTGCACAGGTAAATAATAGTTACAAAAAATAATACAATAATGGAAAATAATTAGAAACTTTACATTCTATATAAAATTTAAAATAAAAAAATTTTATCAAACGCGAACTTTGCAATGCTAAAAGTATACATTATTAATAAGGCGATTTAAAAAGAAATATTTATTATTTAAAATAAATAAAGGTCTCACTTAATTTTTATTTTATGTTATCAGTTGATAAGAGAAAATGAAGATGAAGATTTTTCTTATTCTATGGATCAGTGTTTTTGTTGGACTAGTTTCAGAGTTAAAAGATCTAGAAATAAAAAAAGACGACGAAACCGAAACTCTAAAGTTTCAAGATATTTTAATAATACAAAGAAGTTTGAACTTTTTGATATTATGCACAATGCAGGCCGTAATGAGATCGAGAGAATAACACATATTAATAAATACATGAAGGTTTATACAACATCTTTCATGTCTGAACCTTTAGTATTTCTGAACCGAAGAAAATCGCCGGAACTTGTATTAACAAATATATTCCGCTATACACAAAATTCGAAAAAGTTTCAACAGCCTCATCTCTATCTGTCGCATCATCAATGCCTTCATTAGCGGCTCATATTTATCAACGAAAGCGCATAGGCTGTAAGGATGCCATTTTTTAATTTTATTTTAATATTTTATTTACTATAATCTTTTAGGTATTAGGTCCAAATACCAATTTATTAATAAAGAAATTAAAAAATTGTGCATTGATAAATAATTTAAATTGTAATGAATAATAATTATTAGATAATTAGAATAATAAAGATAATTGTTAACTGCATATTTAAAATTCTTAAAAACAATAACAATAATTTTGTAACTTGCAATTTTTATATTTGTTTTTTTTCTTAATTTTTAAATTACAAATTAAAATGTGTTTTATGCAAAAAGCTCTAAATTGTTAAAAATATGAATTCTTATATGTATTTTGAAAAATATTTATTTTTAATGAGCAAATAATCTATTTTTGATTTCATTGATTTACCTATCTTTAGCATCTTTTATTGCTCTTCATAATATAAATTTTTTTTTAGTTTTCTCGAAAAATTAGCAATACACGTGAGCGAGTTTCCCTGTCTAAGAGATGAAGGAGATGGCACGTCGCTGTACGTCGTGTTACCTGCTACATTGGTCTCAGATACGTGGACGATTAAACAAAATATCACCAAAGATGACATTTTTAATTTAGTACTCCGATTGTTGGAACCTAACGGAGTCGTGGTGTTGCAAGAGCTGCTACATGGAGTTAAGGCATTAGAAGGAGATGATACAGGCATTGAAACATGGCCGACTTTCAAGGTAAACAATTTAGAACTATTTGCTTAAGACACATTTTAATTTATAATTTAAAAATTGAGGAAAAAAAACAAATATAAGAATTACAAATAACAAAATTAGTGTTATTAAAAATTTTAAACACGTAGTTAGAAATTATCCCAATTATTCTAATTAGATCTAATAATTATTATTCAAGGTGGAGACAAATGTGGAAATTCCTAATCTGCTGGAATTTCTAGACAAGGAAGAATTATTCGTGCCTGGCGCAATTGATCTGTGGAAAGATCGTACTAGAAACGCCAAAAATGAACACAAGTTGAATCTTGTGCACCGTGTTCGTGTCGACATTACGGGGAATCACACCAACTTGTGTGCGATCAACTCGATCTGCACAGAAGAAGGGATTGAACAGAAACCTAACATCTTCGAAGTGAACAACGATTATCCGTTCGTCTGGTTTATCTATGATAAAGAATTTCGAGAAATCTTTTTATCGGTGTTTTCCAAAATCCTAAAAATCGGATCCTGAAATGTTCGAGAAGATCGTATAAAAATTAATTTCACAATTGCATGATTCGATTCTAAGACTGCAGCAACAAAAGTGTATTAGAAAATGACGTAATTATCAAATTTTTATTACATGTTTTCTCTTTTTGATTTAACTTCTTATCGATTTCACTTTGCATGTATTATTTTATCTTCTATATGTATTAGAAATTTTTGTTAATCATATGTAGCTTAATTAAATAAATCGATCTCTTCAGTTTTCAGAATCGTTAAAAGAGTTGTCCTTCTATTTACTAATTATAATTCATTCATTGTGATAAACTTTATTTAATTAAATATAATTAATTTTACGTCTTTTATATATTTTTTAAATAAATATGAAAATAATTATATATATTATAATAATTTAAACAGATATGGAAAATTACGTAATTATCGAAGCTATTATATTTTTCTCTTTCTCGGTTAATTTTTATAGGTTTGAGCTGATATGCATCATTCGATTCTATACATATTTTATTAGAAATTTCTGTTAATAATATGTAGCTTAATGAAATTAGTCAATTTTGTTACTCAAAGTTAATATTTACTTTCATTAAATTCTGACTTTTCGTGTCTCGAGAAAGAGAGATAAAAATCTCGTAGTCTTCAGATCTTTTTAAAATATACTCTATTTGTGCGATTATCGTAAATTTATTCTTGCTTTGGAATTTTATAATTTTCTGAATTTTTTGCTTTCTCAATTAATTCGAGATAAGATTGTAAAACACAATTTTTACTAAAAGACACTGATATTATTGTCTGTTATTGTTTATAGATGATAATTTTCAGTAAGGAAGTGAATTAATATGTACTGTGATTTTTACAATTACTATACAATATTTTGCATGCGTGAAATGAAACGGAATCAGAAATTCTAATGCCAAAACGTATAAATATACATATGTACCTACTTATTTATAGTACATCTCATAAATGTTATTAACTTATTTTTTTTTTAAACGAAAAATAAAATTTAAAACCGAAATAATCGTTTTTAAAATTAAACATTGTATTAATGTGTATATTATATGTATATTTATATGTCTACAAAATTTTTAATAGTATTAATTGTGGTAATAAATAATAATAGAATGTACTATTTTTCCTATCAAATATTTTTGATCGTACGTTCTACCTTATAGTTTATTTTATGTAATTTTGTCATTAATTATTTTATTAATTACGCTATTAATTTTGATATTAATAATGTCATGACTAATAAGTCATTTAACATAATTTTTTAAATAATATATTATTAAATCAATTCGTGATTCTCTTCCTGAATTACACATTATCAGGTTCGATGATAGAATTTTAGTTCTTTATTCATTTGACGTGTACATTATAAATATATTTTTTATATTTTAGTAATCACATTATATATCGTGCATGAGATAACGTATATTTACATTTTATATAGTAATAAATAAGTATTTTAAAGGGTATAAAACATAATTTAAATTAGAACGCATTAATATTATTGCCGGATAATACGTAGATGATAAATTTGGATAAAGCAGTAACTATATATATAATACGTTTGAATTTTAAACTACAAAAAACGATTTTTAAAGAGTTCCACGGATAAAACAAACGGTTCTTAGAAATTGAAATGTTTCACATAACGAGTTTCTCGCGCAGAAAATCATCGTTAGCCAATCAAAAATCGTAAAATAAAATGTGTCTAAACAATATAATCGACCTTTCTTGACTAAAGTTACCAGTATACATCCAATCAGTTTTTAAAGTTGCATCATTTCAAGATTTTAGTCAACTCGACAGCTTCGCCAATTTATAAATCAACATGGCACGAACAGAACACTTCATACATAGTGAGTTAAAAAATATATAAACAATCATGTAATTTTATTGTCAATTTTATGGTATAGAGAATAATAATAATTTTAATAAAATAAAATTTGTGTTGCCATGGAAATATTTTCTTATGATATTATTTTATATAAAATATTTAGATGAATGTTTGCTTTTATATTTTTAATGATTATTATCATCCTTTCCTTTTGTTACTTAATAAGTTTTGCGAACCCATAGATTTGATTCTTTTAAAACTATGTGCTCTTTCTCGATGTTTCTTGGTATTAATTCTTATTTTAGAAAATTGTTTCTTTTTTTTAGATAAATTTAAAATAGATTGAGTTTATATATAAAATTAGTTTATTAAAAGTTTATAAAAATTTTATGGTCTGTGTTATAAATGATAAAAATATATTTGAATAATTGTAGAAATATTATATGAATTTATTTCGCAGAATAAAATTTCTCTATCTTTATTTGTAAAATATTATAATTAAATTTTTTTGATAACAAATAATATATCTATTAATTACGAAATTTTTATTCATTTTACTTTCTGAAAATGACTAATGAGTCAAGTACTATATCTCGGAATTTCGATACACAGAATTCAAAGTTTTTATGTGATATAGCATATTAATAAATAAAGGTAATAATTAGAAGATTAACAAGGATAACAATATCCAAACGACCGATTTGTTATTTATATCTTTATTTAAAATCTTATCTTTTTTTCCTCCTTTTGATTAACTTTTATTATCGAATGTTCATAACATTTTAAATAACATTTAATATATTTAATTTAATGTTTACAATTTATAATATTATATTTAATTATAATATTATATAATATTATATTTTATAGTAATAGCATTATATAAGTTTAGAAAAGTATACGTCTGTAAATTAGATATTTATTAATAATTGTTTAATAATAATATATATAAACATTTGTTAATAATTTTATTATACAAAGCTGTTTTTAATCCAAGAGTCAATGTATATACATCAGACTAATTTTTTAAATTTATTATACGTAATTTGTTTGTTTTGAATTTATTTGTACATAAATGAGTATTTAAAGTTTTGACACAAGTTATATTTATTCTATGATATCGTGACATTGATGACTATATTAAAATCGTCATATTGCTGACAAAAATATTTCAAAATCTTACTTTTCGTATATTTACAATTTTTCGTAGAAAAATTCTATAAATGAGTATTTTTATTATATTTCAAATTAAATTAAGAATTGCGATAAAAATAAATTAACGACATGCAAAATAACTGTGGTATAAATTTAACACCAATTAAGTTGTACTTTGCATTTATTTAATTTTTGATGAAATATTATATAATTAAATGTAATTACTTATTTATGTAATATTGTATATCTTCTTTATCGTCTTTGTCAGTTCAACTTAACTTTTTTCTTTCTAATTTTCATCTTTTGTCTTTTATGTTTAAATCAGGGGTTCTAGAACTACAAGAAGCACGTTTCGATTTTGCGCTCGATTGTTTGCATCATGCGAATAATATAAGATCCGGCAATATTGCTTTTAGTCCGTACAGCTTATATGAGGGACTTACGATGATTTACTTTGCATCCAGTGATGGTGACACCGATACACGTTTAAAATATGTGCTTAAATTGCCTGATGATATACTCAAAAGTTTCTGGGTGACATATAACATAGCCGAAAGAATGAAGGAGATAACCAATTTTGCCGCAAATGATTGCATTATATTATTTATAACGAGATATCAAAGATATGTCAAAAAGCATTTCATATCTACATATTCGAATTTTTAGAATTTTTTATAAATAATACATCTTACAATTAGAATTGCGGATCTTTATTGCACGAACGTTTTGCTCAACAAAAGTGATTCTTTTTATTATGAGATGGATGAATATAAAAATATTTATACTAACATATAATAATTTATAAGTTTTTATTTTAAAAACTTGATGGGGAAATGACGGAAATAGAAGTTTCGAGTTAATTTGTTTTAGACTGTTTTGTATAAAATAACGTAAAATTCATTGATATTCAACGTATTATCCATTGATACTAAAAGCTTGTGACATAATGTATTAAAAGGATGACAAAAATCCGAATATATTTTTCAGAAAGTTTAGAAAAACTTAGAATTCCCTTTTTTTATCATTAAGCAATTTTTGAATAATTGATACTACTAAAAAATACATATTTCAGAATAGAGAAGATTCGAACGGATTTTATAATCAAAATATCTGTTGGATTAATAAGGCCAAACAAATAAAAGATATCACGTCAAATTTCTTTAATTTTTTCCTTAATTTCTTTAATTTTTCATAAAAAAAAACTGATTAGTTTCAAACATTATTATACATATATTAATCACAAAATGTGTTGCGTGAAAAATGATTACGCTGAGGGCATGTGCTCGCCACACGTGACTCTGGAAGTAGTGCGTCAGCGACTATGTGTGGTCGAAAAGAATTTTGACTCTTCTTCTTTCACAATATTTATTTGCTTCGGTTAGAATACAAGCTAGTTTCGTTGCACTTAAGGGTAACTAATAGCGTTATCGCGGGTAAATATACTGGACGCCTTTGTTCTCGCGACAAACGTGTCGCCTCACGCTTGCGTCCGCTTCTCTCCGCGATCGAGTCAGCTCTGGTCCGCTCTCCCGAGTGGAGGGCTCCTAAGCACGCCCTCTGCCGAGTATTAAGATAGGAGCACACACTTTTGCATAGGCGCATAAGCATAAGCGTAAGCATAAGAATCTTGATTGGTCTATAAATGTATGCACAAGAAATTCAACCAATCGAATTTCTTATGCGCTTATGCAAGAGTGTGCTTCCCGCTTTACTACGTGCGATAAGGCGCGGTCCCAAACTCGCGCGTGAAAGACAAGTTAAAATAAATCGTTTTTTTTTACGATACAGAATGAAAAAAAATCTAATCAATTACTATGATAAATTATTTTCGTACAAATAAATATATTTAAAATATATTTGAAAAATTTTAATATTAATTTTTTAGTTTAATTTTCAATTGTTTTATCCACATAAACGCATTACATAATTTGCAATTTCAAACACACATATTAGATAAACTAAATTATAATACATGCACATGTAGTTTTAAACATACATAGATCTATCTGTTGAGAGAGTAAAAATTTTAAGAAATTATTTGGGGGAATTTGTAAGTTCATCAATTTCAATTATTGTAGTATCCAATCGTGACTTAGTCTCCGAACCAGAATGCACAAGACGCTTACCGAATATTAGTTCAAATAAAACATATTACAATAAATAGTTCGAAACATATATCCATTTCGTTAAATATAATTGTATATGTCAAATTATGATACTTTTTTTTACACATGACGTCAATAGAGTGAAAATGATTAATTTTCGACGTCAAATGGATATATAATATCAACACGTGTCTTTTTTCCATCCAACGCCTCAATTTTATTATAATCTTAATTTATTCTTGCATTTTTAATTGATTCAGGGAAAAACATAGTTTTGATTAAAGATTATTATTGTCTGTCGCAATAAATTGTCAATTTCGATGAGGATGTAAATTAACGTACACTGTGTATATATGAACTTTACAATCTCTATACAATATTATGTGTGTGATTTGGAAGTGAAAAGGTACAATTATAATTAATTATAAATTCAATTTTGTTATATTTCTTCAAATTTTTTGTGTATAATTCTTTTTCTTCAATTTAGTGCTATAGCGTTATTCTTTTTGTATAATAGACTTTAATTATATCGTAATTATAATAATTTTTTATCATTTACAAAGATTGATGTAACTGAAAATAGAATTTTTTTTTATACGTGTAAAGCTTTCTTTTCATATATATATATATATATGAAATAATATATATATACTTTTTCGTCTTTATAAAATATTAAAAAAAATAATAAAAGCTTAAATTTAATTTGCATGCGTATATTTAACAACTTTAAATAATTTTCTAACAAATTTCTATAAAGATAACGTATAATAATATATATTAAATAATATTAAATAATATAATCTATTTAGCGAGAATGCCTGGACAATAATTTGCATGTTTATTTATAATATCTTTGTATCATAATATATAAGATGACGATTAGTTTATAATTAAATTTTATAGATAATTTCTGAATCTTTGACAATAGGAATCAAATAATATATTTCGTACGTACAATATATATATATACTAATGTGGGTATATGAATTCGTGTGTATTCGTGTTTATGTGTATATGTTTTGATCCGGAGAATAATGTTTCCTTTCGTCAAGGGTAAAATGTAAAGCCGGAGAACCGTTTCAGATGTCAAAGTTGTCAGTTTGACGGTCGTCAGAATCACGGAGAAAAGCATCTCGAGTGGACGGAGTAATTGTGATAAGCTATTAAATAAAGAATTGTGTGTTTTGCGTTCATCTGTAATTTTGTTAGAACGTTTTAAACAAAATGGCTGAGTGTGCAGGTCCATCAAAGACGGACTGGGCCCGTCGGTATCGGATTGCGAAGATGATGGTAAGTTTGAAGATTTTTGTATAAAATTATGTTTAATATTAGTTCAATTTTTTGAATTGATAAATAATCTAAAATACATATATATTATGCAGATATATCAGAAGATATATCGGATTGGGAAGATGATGGTAAGTCCGAAGATTTTTGTATAAATTTTTGTTTAATATTAGTCAAATTTTTCGAATTGATAATAATCTGAAATACATATATATTAAGATGCAAAAATACATATCTATTAAGAATACATATATAAGAAAAATACATATATATTAAGATGCAATGTAGTGAATAATCACGCGTACTTATTTTTCGAAATCTGATAGCATTAATTATATTAGCGAATTGTATCAATTTTTAAATATACTAAACAAAACAAGTTTAAGATCAAGGAGCTCATCAGTGTTCAAGCCAAAAATATATTTGTGTAAATAAAAGAGATAGATAAAATTATATTACAAAATGTAACTTCTCATTATTACACATATTAAATAATTTTTTTCATATTTATCATTATTTCAACATTAATAATCCATCTATTTCATTGTTTTTGTATCGGAAATATAAATAAATCGCCGTTTTACGAGTTTACATATAGACAAAGTAAGAAAATAGGCAATTATATATTTAATTTAGTAATGTAAAAATACATTTGCAAATCTTTTTCCTTTTTTTTCTATATAATGTTATTTAATTTATATTGATTTTATCGCATCGCATGTGTAAATTTATTTGTACGTGTAACAAAATTTATAGATCCATATGCAAGATAATTGAATGAATGAAATTCGACACACAGTTTTTGCATCTAATGTATTTTGCATTTATATGTATTGTTAATTATTATATCTTGTCAATTATGATTAGTTTAATTTAGTGTATTATAATTAATTTACTTTCTTATTGTAACATATTTTTTCTTTGATTATTTAATAAATTTAATTTTTACTTTTATATTCGCTAGTTGATCAAATAAAGGAAATGCGTTTCCAATTTGCAATCCAATGGTTGTATAAAATTATGCAAAGCGAGAATGATGTTGTGTCATGTCCGTTTAGCCTTCATGATGGACTTCTTAGAATTTATTTAACGGTCTATGATGACAGTAAGGAACTCTTGAAACGCATCATTTTTAAATCAAGTTATTTCAAACATTGGATTAAACCTAAGATAGAAAATTATACATCTTATAGACACCGCTTTGCACAGGTAAATAATAGTTACAAAAATAATACAATAATGGAAAATAATTAGAAACTTTACATTCTATATAAAATTTAAAATAAAAAAAATTTTATCAAACGCGAACTTTGCAATGCTAAAAGTATACATTATTAATAAGGCGATTTAAAAAAGAAATATTTATTATTTAAAATAAATAAAGGTCTCACTTAATTTTTTATTTTATGTTATCAGTTGATAAGAGAAAATGAAGATGAAGATTTTTCTTATTCTATGGATCAGTGTTTTTGTTGGACTAGTTTCAGAGTTAAAAGATCTAGAAATAAAAAAGACGACGAAACCGAAACTCTAAAGTTTCAAGATATTTTAATAATACAAAGAAGTTTGAACTTTTTGATATTATGCACAATGCAGGCCGTAATGAGATCGAGAGAATAACACATATTAATAAATACATGAAGGTTTATACAACATCTTTCATGTCTGAACCTTTAGTATTTCTGAACCGAAGAAAATCGCCGGAACTTGTATTAACAAATATATTCCGCTATACACAAAAATTCGAAAAAGTTTCAACAGCCTCATCTCTATCTGTCGCATCATCAATGCCTTCATTAGCGGCTCATATTTATCAACGAAAGCGCATAGGCTGTAAGGATGCCATTTTTTAATTTTATTTTAATATTTTATTTACTATAATCTTTTAGGTATTAGGTCCAAATACCAATTTATTAATAAAGAAATTAAAAATTGTGCATTGATAAATAATTTAAATTGTAATGAATAATAATTATTAGATAATTAGAATAATAAAGATAATTGTTAACTGCATATTTAAAATTCTTAAAACAATAACAATAATTTTGTAACTTGCAATTTTTATATTTGTTTTTTTTCTTAATTTTTAAATTACAAATTAAAATGTGTTTTATGCAAAAAGCTCTAAATTGTTAAAAATATGAATTCTTATATGTATTTTGAAAAATATTTTTTTTAATGAGCAAATAATCTATTTTTGATTTCATTGATTTACCTATCTTTAGCATCTTTTATTGCTCTTCATAATATAAATTTTTTTTAGTTTTCTCGAAAAAATTAGCAATACACGTGAGCGAGTTTCCCTGTCTAAGAGATGAAGGAGATGGCACGTCGCTGTACGTCGTGTTACCTGCTACATTGGTCTCAGATACGTGGACGATTAAACAAAATATCACCAAAGATGACATTTTTAATTTAGTACTCCGATTGTTGGAACCTAACGGAGTCGTGGTGTTGCAAGAGCTGCTACATGGAGTTAAGGCATTAGAAGGAGATGATACAGGCATTGAAACATGGCCGACTTTCAAGGTAAACAATTTAGAACTATTTGCTTAAGACACATTTTAATTTATAATTTAAAAATTGAGGAAAAAAAAACAAATATAAGAATTACAAATAACAAAATTAGTGTTATTAAAAATTTTAAACACGTAGTTAGAAATTATCCCAATTATTCTAATTAGATCTAATAATTATTATTCAAGTGGAGACAAATGTGGAAATTCCTAATCTGCTGGAATTTCTAGACAAGGAAGAATTATTCGTGCCTGGCGCAATTGATCTGTGGAAAGATCGTACTAGAAACGCCAAAAATGAACACAAGTTGAATCTTGTGCACCGTGTTCGTGTCGACATTACGGGGAATCACACCAACTTGTGTGCGATCAACTCGATCTGCACAGAAGAAGGGATTGAACAGAAACCTAACATCTTCGAAGTGAACAACGATTATCCGTTCGTCTGGTTTATCTATGATAAAGAATTTCGAGAATCTTTTTTATCGGTGTTTTCCAAAATCCTAAAAAATCGGATCCTGAAATGTTCGAGAAGATCGTATAAAAATTAATTTCACAATTGCACGATTCGATTCTAAGACTGCAGCAACAAAAGTGTATTAGAAAATGACGTAATTATCAAATTTTTATTACATGTTTTCTCTTTTTGATTTAACTTCTTATCGATTTCACTTTGCATGTATTATTTTATCTTCTATATGTATTAGAAATTTTTGTTAATCATATGTAGCTTAATTAAATAAATCGGTCTCTTCAGTTTTCACACAATTTTTAACTAACACACAATTTTTACTAAAAGACACTGATATTATTGTCTGTTATTGTTTATAGATGATAATTTTCGGTAAGGAAGTGAATTAATATGTTCTGTGATTTTTACAATTATTATACAATATTTGCATGCGTGTTCTAGAAATGAAACGGAATCAGAAATTCTAATGCCAAAACGTATAAATATACATATGTACCTACTTATTTATAGTACATCTATAAATTAACTTATTTTTTTTTTTTTTAAACGGAAAATAAAATTTAAAACCGAAATAATCGTTCTTCAAATTAAACATTGTATTAATGTGTATATTATATGTATATTTATATGTCTACAAAATTTTTAATAGTATTAATTGTGGTAATAAATAATAATAGAATGTACTATTTTTTCCTATCAAATATTTTTAATCGTACGTTCTACCTTATAGTTTATTTTATGTAATTTTGTCATTAATTATTTTATTAATTACGCTATTAATAATGTCATGACTAATAAGTCATTTAACATATTTTTTAAATAATATATTATTAAATCAATTTGTGATTCTCTTCCTGAATTACACATCATCAGGTTCGATGATAGAATTTAGTTCTTTATTCATTTGACGTGTACATTATAAATATATTTTTTATATTTTAGTAATCACATTATATACCGTGCATGAGATAACGTATATTTACATTTTATATAGTAATAAATAAGTATTTTAAAGGATATAAGACATAATTTAAATTAGAACGCATTAATATTATTGCCGGATAATACGTAGATGATAAATTTGGATAAAGCAGTAACTATATATATATACGTTTGAATTTTAAACTACAAAAAACGATTTTTAAAGAATTCCACGGATAAAACAAACGGTTCTTAGAAATTGAAATGTTTCACATAACGAGTTTCTCTCGCGCAGAAAATCATCGTTAGCCATCAAAAATCGTAAAATAAAATGTGTCTAAACAATATAATCGACCTTTCTTGACTAAAGTTACCAGTATACATCCAATCAGTTTTTTAAAGTTGCATCATTTTCAGATTTAGTCAACTCGACAGCTTCGCCAATTTATAAATCAACATGGCACGAACAGAACACTTCATACATAGTGAGTTAAAAAATATTTAAACAATCATGTAATTTTATTGTCAATTTTATGGTATAGAGAATAATAATAATTTTAATAAAAATAAAATTTGGTGTTGCCATAGAAATATTTTCTTATGATATTATTTTATATAAATATTTAGATGAATGTTTGCTTTTATATTTTAATGATTATTATCATCCTTTCCTTTTGTTACTTAATAAGTTTTGTGCGAACCCATAGATTCGATTCTTTTAAAACTATTGCTCTTTCTCGATGTTTCTTGGTATTAATTCTTATTTTAGAAAAATGTTTCTTCTTTTTTTTAGATAAATTAAAATAGATTGAGTTTATATATAAATTAGTTTATTAAAAGTTTAAAAAATTTTATGGTCTGTGTTATAAATGATAAAATATATTTGATAATTGTAGAAATATTATATGAATTATTTCGCAGAATAAAATTTCCCTATCTTTATTTGTAAATATTATATTTAAATTTTTTTGATAACAAATAATATATCTATCAATTACGAAATTTTTATTCATTTTACTTTCTGAAATGACTAATGAGTCAAGTACTGTATCTCGGAATTTCGATACACAGAATTCAAAGTTTTTATGTGATATAGCATATAATAAATAAAGGTAATAATTAGAAGATTAACAAGGATAACAATTCCAACGACCGATTTGTTATTATATCTTTATTTAAAATCTTATCTTTTTTTTCCTCCTTTTGATTAACTTTATTATCGAATGTTTATAACATTTTAAATAACATTTAATATATTTATATATAATTTAATGTTTACAATTTATATATTATATTTA